ATAATATAATTTCATAATTTTATCATAACTTTTTACTATTCAAATCTTCTTCTTTTTTTTTTTAAAAAAAAATTACTTTATATAATTACTTTTATTTTTTTTTATATTATATTACAAATTTATTTTACATTCAAAATATCGTATTAATCTCTATTTATATGATATCAAACAATTATTCAAATTTAATTTTTTATTATTAAAAAATTCAAATTCAAAATCTAAAAATCTGACAAACACACCCTTATTCTCCGGGGGAGGACAGCCTACTCAATAGGTTTTTGTCTTTATTTCCATGTCCCCTTTGGAAGGAAAACAACCTTTTTATTTGTATTAATATTTGTGTTTAAATATTTATACATACAATTGAAGTACGAAGGGACAGGAGTACTGTATGTTTATATATATATATATTTTTTTTCACAAAAATTAATATTATTTTTTTTTTTATTTTTTATACAATTTTTTCAATTTTTAATAATTTTTTCCATATTTTTAAAAAAATATTATTTTTTTAAAAAATATATTTAAATAATACTTCCATCGTCCCTTAATAAATTATTTATTTTTTTATTTTGGTCTATTCAATACAAAGTATTTATTTATTTTTTAATAACTATACCATCGGCCTATCATAATACATACTCTTTCAATTTACAATATATTACACCGATTTATTACAAAGTTCGCCCAAAATAGAGGGAGTAATAATTTTAATTAAAATGTTATGTCTACTATGATTATAAAAAAATTAAAAAAAAAATTAAAAAGTCAAAATCTCTTCTATTTTTTGAATTATAACTAACATGCATGAAAAATATTATGTAAAAAAATAAAATAATAATAATAATTCATGAAGTCTAAGCAAATTTGATTAAACTAATTAACTAAAATCAATAAAACAAATTAACGGACAATTTGAAATTTTGGATTATATTTATTAGGTACGGGCTGTGTTATACATGTCTTTCTTTTGTTTTGATTTGAATTTAAATTTGTTAATTTAAATAATACTTTATTCGTTTCATCTTATTATTATTATTATTTTAAAATAATTATATATTTAAAATTTTATAATCAATAATTTTTAATTATTTTTATTAATTTACTTTTTTAATTATTTACTAATACTATTAATACTTTACTTAAATTTTTATATTTACAGAAAAATTGACAAAAAATATGAGGACAAAAGAAGTATTATTATTTTTTATTTGATTGTAAAATATTTATATATGTATATTATAATTGAAAATTATTTATTTATTTTTAATTTGAATAGTTGTATGATGTGGTATAAATAGATTTTGATGTGATATTTTGAATGTAAAATTGATTTTTAAATATAATATAAAAAATGAAAAATAGGTCTTTGATTTTATGTTTTTGTGTAATATATGGTAAGTTATAAGAGTATTTGTAATGTTACGTCCATAGTATAATTACTAAAAAAAGAAAACAAATACTTTGTTATGAGACGGACTAAAATAGAAAAATAAATATTTTGTTACGAGAATGAGGGAGTATCAAATTTGTATATTTGATCAATTAAATATGAAATGTCATTAGAATCAAGAAATGTGTAATCATAAAGTGATAACCTTGTTTAAATAAATTTGAAGCATATATATATGTGAAATAAAATTTGATAAACATGATTTTTATTTATTTATTTTTGATAACGTGATAACTCACAGTCGCTACTTTTAATAAACATGATTTGCATTTGGGATTTATTTGTTTAGCGTTTTAGCACTTTCAAATATAAAAATTTTACCTCAAACCAAAACGCTAAAAACACTTATAATGTTATTTAATTAGATTGTCGGAGTATAAATTATCCTAAAAAAGAAGTTACTAAACCTCTTTAAATTAAAATTTAAGTTAAAAATTATTAAAATTAAGTAATTTTTAGAATTACTATGAAATATTTGTTTTTTTTTTTACATGATTTTTTTAAAAAAATAATATACTACACATTTATTATTTTTTATATTTTAAACACAATTTTTTTATACTTCATCACATAATAAAAAATTTTTTCCAACAATTTCATCGAATAAACATTGTTAATTTTTTTTAAAAAAATTGAATTAGAATATATTTTTAAAAAAACCCAAAATTTGGTCGTGTATGGTAAACATTAGTGAGCCACGTGGTGGAATATTTGACACGTGGCGGACCTATATGATATGAATAAAATCGACTAAAATACTATCTAATGAGTTTCATTTCATGCAACGAATAAAAATGCATTTGTATAATGAGTTAAAAAACAAAACCGTTCTATAAATGTATTTGTATAGAAAATAATAATATTTACTTAAAAATAATTATATTATTACTTATCAAAATGAGATTATTATTATAATTTGAATAAAAAAAATTGAAATTATTATTTTAAATCAAACAAAGTATATTGTAATTATCAAAGTTGTATGGTCATCTGCCACACATAGTTCGTTTAATGTGACTTTTTCGTCGAGCCTGATTTGCAGAATATTAAATTCTGCCGGGAGTTGATCCAGTGCACATTTTCGAATAGTAATTGCTAGTTCTCATATCATCAAAAAAATAAAAAATAAAAAATAAAAAATTAAAGCCTCTTTAGACGGAGACTTTTGATTTAATATATATATTTTTAAATATTAAGAATTTGTTCTGTCAATTTTTTTTCGAGATAAGATTTTCTATATATATATATATTTTAAAAAAATTAATATTTAATATAAAATATTAATTTTTATATTATCAACACACTTTTTATGCGATCAAGACTTTTTAAAATTAGTATATACTTTTTAGAAATAGTAAAAACCCAGATATTTTATACTTCTTCCGTCCTAATATAATAGTGTTGTTTACTATTTTTGTCCATTCCAAAACAATAGTCTTATTTTCATAAATAATCGTATCACCGTAAAACTACCTCTACTTTTTCATTTTTATTACACAATTGTCACTATTTTTTACACTAATATACTCACAAGGGCAAAAAAATCTTTTATTCATACTTCTTTACCAACTACCAATATAATATGAATATTCCTTAAATCTCATGTCCAAATAATTAAAATTATAGTTTTGGAACCGAAAGAGTAGGATAATATTATCTCTATTAACTCAGAAGATATATACTATGTTTTTATTTTGTATTATTTAATTATTTTATTGAATATCACACTTTTTCTTTATACAAATATTTTTATTTTATTATAATATGTTTATTTTTATAAAAAGTAAGGATAAAATTATATTTACACTACTTTTAATTATATAGAAATACTAGTTTTATTTATTAAATTCTACGCAAAAATAAATGTATATTTTTTTGCCGAAAACTATACATTTATTATTAATCGCAAAATTAAAAAATAATAGTAATATTTTAATTATAGTTGATAGTTAAAAATAATATAAAAATATTTTACATTTACTTTTTATATAGTAATACTGTGATGATAAAGTGGGTAATTGTAAAAAAATAAATATATATATATTTTTAAAATAATTATTTTATAATTAAATAATTTTAAATAAGAAAATATATACTTCCAGGCGGTACCAATAAAATTAAAGAAATCATACAATATTTTTTTAAAAGATGTATATTTATTATTAATTTTAAAATTCTTAAAAATATCTACGTGCCTAATTTTTTTGTTTTTACATTTAAAATATAACATAAAATAGATACGAATCAGAATTTGTTTGTTTATTATTCTATTCGTCCCATATAATTTATCTCTATTTTATATTTTTGTTTGTTTCACATAATTTGTTCTTTTATTTTTTGGAAATATGATTATACACTTTAATAATATTTTAAATTTTATATTAAATAAATTTTTTAATGTTAATTAAACTATTGACTTATTTTAATTTTAATCTCTAATTATTTTTATTATACAATAATTATTTTTACTAATATATTTTTTAATTATTTACTAATTATACTTTATCTAAATTCTCTTATCTACGGTAATAGTCTCATCTTTTCTGCGACGGAGGGAGTATTTCAAATTTAAATAAACACTCACTCATTTTGTACGAAATTAATTAAAAATATACTATTTCATTCGTTTGCCTCTAAGGGTCATATTTATCTTTTTGCGTCAAATTACTTAATATTAAAAGTATCCTAGTGCGCACTTTCGGGTAGCGGCTGCGGGTTCCCACGTCATAAAAAATATCTTTATATTTGTATAATTTTTTTTTTACAAATGTCCTTCTATCAATATTATAAGACACTCATTAAAGTATTTTTGCATTTTTTTCTTAATTTGTTCTAATAAAATATTAATATTAAAAAATCAACACGCAAAAAATAAATAAAACTATTAATAATATTTTTTGTTATAAAATATCACATCATTAACTATTATAAAACAAACCATAATATTAATGTCAATATTCTATTTAGATTTTTAAATAAAAATAACAAAAGCAATTGTGGTTTTAATTTTGGCCGTGTTTTGTATGTATTTTTACACTTATTTTAATACTCCTTTGTCACAAATTTTGCATTTTCTTGTTATTTAAAAGTATTTTATTTTTGTTGAAAAAATTATATTTAATTTTTATACTAATTTTTATTATAAAAAAACAAAAAATAACCAAAAGTGTACATGTATGTTAAAATTCGTGCAAAATAATTTACGTATATTTTACGTGTGAAGTACTGTCATTTTTCTTTTAAATATGTTAATTAGTCAAATTGTGTCGATAATACATATATAATAATATATTAAGTTATTTAATACTCCATGTTCAAAGTACTTCTACATAATTCTGGACTTTAATATCAAATTAATTTTATTTTTTATTTTTCTTAATTTTAGTCATGCCTTACAAACGACAATGTAGCTGAGTAGAGAGAATATCAATATCTATTTTTTTAAAAAAGTCTACTATTTATATATATTTTTTATTTTTTTATTTTTATTTTTATTTTTAACTTAAATATATCTTTTTAAGTGATACTTCATGGAGTATTTCAAATCAATGTTAATCATCATCACCATCATCATATAACAAACCAACTGGTCATTTGGTGTGGAAGCTGTACGGAAAATGGAGGACGACGGGAAGCAACAGCTAATCGTACATTCCGATATTGAAGATCAACCGCCGGAGATCGTGCCGTCGTACCAAGGTCTGTTATCGAGTCACTCATTTTTCTCATCCTTTGTCGTCGGAGAAGACGATATTCCGCCGATAACCGGCGTCGGAGGATTCCTCTCAGCCTTTAGGGAAGAATCGAGCAAGCTCTGGTATCTGGCAGGACCGGCGATTCTCACGTCGATTTTTCAGTATTCTCTCGGCGCCATCACTCAAACCTTCGCCGGACACGTCGGTACCATAGAGCTCGCCGCCTTCTCCGTCGAGAACTCCGTCATCGCCGGATTGTGCTTCGGAGTAATGGTAAAGTGAAATGTTGAAAACGACGTCGTCTTTTGTGATTTGTCTCGTTTTTGGTGAAATTAGGGCACAGAAATTTAACCGATTCGAAATTGAATTGTATTTCTGTCTAGATTTAGTTTCGATTCAATTGTTCGTCAATCGGTTGCAAATCTGATCTAGAATCTTCGAATTTCCTGTTCTATCGAGCAGATGGGGATGGGAAGCGCACTGGAAACTCTGTGCGGTCAGGCGTACGGCGCCGGCCAGAAGGAAATGCTCGGCGTCTATATGCAGAGGTCGTGGGTGATTCTCCTCTGCACGAGCTTCTTCCTGATGTTCATGTACATCTTCGCCGAGCCGGCGCTGCTCCTCCTCGGACAGACGGCGGAGATCTCACGCGCCGCGGGGAGAGTAGCGGTGTGGATGATTCCTCAGCTCTACGCCTACGCGCTCAATTTCCCCATCGCCAAATTCCTGCAAGCGCAGAGCGACATCCTCGCAATGACGTGGATCTCCGGCGTGGTGCTCGTCCTCCACGTGCTGCTCACGTGGCTCCTGATGCTGAAGCTCGGCTACGGTCTCGGCGGCGGTGCCGTCGTCCTCAACGCTTCGTGGTGGCTTCTGGTTATCGGACAGCTTGTCTACATCTTCAGCGGCGCGTGCGGCCAAGCCTGGTCAGGATTTTCATGGCTGGCGTTCCAAAACCTCTGGTCATTCGTCAGATTATCGGTGGCGTCGGCGGTGATGCTCTGGTTAGTAATCAATCAATGAATCATCAATCTGAACGGTTCCAAATCTCGATTCAAATCAGTTCTGTAAACATAATCACGAAATTTTTGTTGTGGCGGCAGCTTAGAGATTTGGTACTTCACGGCGCTGATCCTGTTCGCTGGATTCCTCAAAGACGCAGAGGTTGCCGTCGATGCTCTGTCAATCTGGTAACCCCAACCATTTTGTCTTTTACTTCCATTAATTTGTGACGTCATCTGTTCTTCCCAACAAATCGCTTTTATTTAAAATAAAATATTATTTTTGATTTTATTAAATAAAATAAATATTTTAAACTAATAAAAAATTGTAAATTATAATACTCCTCCGTCTATTTTCTAATATTCTATTTGATATTTACAAATATTTTTAGGCAATTAAGATTTTGTTATAAAATGATAAATTTGTCCTTAATCTTGTGTATAGAAAATAAAAGAGTAAATAAAGTAAAAATAAAAAAATAAATTTTGTATATAAAAATAAAAAAAGGATAATAATTGTTGGAAATTCCAAATAAGAAAATAGGATGTTAGTTTGTGGACGGAAGGAAGTATTAGATAGTTTTGAAAAATTTTAAGAAAAAAAGAATTAAATAACTATATATATTTTATGAAACAAAATTATATATATTTGATTTAATGAATTTTTTAGTTGTTGAATGATCCCAAAACTTTTGAGGGCTTATGTACATAAAAGAGAACTTTTCTGTTTAAAAATAGCAATGCCTATCCCTGCCAAACTTTCATAGTTATTATTAGAAAGTTGATCATGTGCTTATCAAGACTTGCTAATACTAAGTTGGGTGTGTCTATTTGTTATTTCAAATAAAAATTATTAGGATGATAATACTAAGTTGGGTGTGTTTATTTGTTATTTCAAATAATTTTTTTTTGTATTAATCCTAATGACTTTTAATAAAAAAAAAATTATATTTTTTATAAAATATTTTATCAAAATATTATTTAAATCACCCATCCCAATTTCAAATCAAAACCAAACCATCCCCTAATTTTGAAATGTTAGCCTCTTCATTTTGATATATTGTTTCATTAATGTATAGAGTTAAAAGGGTGCATTTTTCAATGTTTCTATTTCAGTGTTTTAATATTTAAACTTCATATTTTTTGGTTTTTGGAAAAAAAAAAAAAAAGACATTTTTTTCATTAAACATTAAAATAAATATTCTTTTAAAAAATGATTCAAATCTCTAGACCCAATAAAAAACCTAAAGATACTTGTGGTTGTCTGTGGATTTTAGCTTTTTTATTTGTATTTTTTAATAGTAAAAAGTTGAATTTGAATAGTTGTTTGATGTGACATAAATATATATTGATGTAATATTTTGAATGTAAAATAAATTTATAATATAATATAAAAAAAAAATAATTGTTTGATATGATATTTTTGAAGAAAAAAAATTTTAATAATAAAAACTTGCTGTAAAACTCACAAAAGAACTTTAATTGTTTACTTTATCTAGATTTGGATTGATAAAATTTAATTTAAATTTTGTATTGAAATAATACTGCTATTTGATATGATAATTTATAAAAGATTTTTTTTTTTTTTTCAAGGAAAAAGCAAAGTGAAATAGCAAAAATCATAAAATAATATTTATTTGATATGATTATTTAATTATGGTTCTTTATTTACACACACTCAATGGAGTTCCTAACAATTGATAAGATTCATTAAATTACTACAACTTCTAACCTTCATATTTATTTATTTTATTTTTGTGATCCCAGCGTGAACATATTGGGTTGGACTTCAATGGTTGCACTGGGATTTAACGCAGCAATAAGGTATGTATATTATGAAAAAATTATTGTCGATGAATAAGATCAAAATTTGCATCTAAACATAGTTTTAATGTTCTAAATTATTTTTGGTATTTCGATTGCTTGCAGCGTAAGAGTTTCGAACGAATTAGGAGCAGCGCATCCGAGAAGCGCGAAATTCTCGGTGACAGTGGTTGTGGTATCATCGACCTTGATAGCTCTCGTGATTTCGGTGATCATTCTCGTCTTCCAGAAACAGTATCCTTCGATGTTTACGGAGAGCTCGGCCGTGAAAGACGTGGTGTACAGCCTAACGCCGTTGCTGGCCTTCTGCATTGTGCTTAACAACGTCCAGCCTTCCCTGTCAGGTGATCATCAACTCGACTCGACTGAAATAATAGTAATAAATAAATAAATAAATGTGTATATATATATGTGCAGGTGTGGCAATTGGAGCTGGATGGCAAGCTTTGGTTGCATATGTGAATATAGGTTGCTACTATATTCTTGGTATACCTTTGGGCATTTTGATGGGATTTCTACTTAAATTGGGTGTACAAGTAAGTCTCTACCTCACTCAAAATATATAAAATAAAATATTTTATAAATTGTATTTGAAATTAATAGTATTGAATTTGTGAATTTTGTAATACAATTAGGGCATATGGTGTGGAATGGTGCTGGGAACTGTGGTTCAGACTCTGATCCTCTTCTGGATTGTTTACAAGACTAATTGGGACAAAGAGGTTTGCTTAATTTAATCCAATATATATTATTTTATAATACTACCTCCCTCCTACTAGAGGTCTCATTTATTTTTTTATTTTTTTTTGCACGTTGCTCTTTAAATATTAATTATTATATAAAAACGTAGTACAAATCAAGAGAAAATGACAAAAATATTTTTATTAGTGTCTTATAATACTATTGTAATGATATTTATGCAAAAAAATATACAAATATAAGGATATTTTTAGTGTCAAGTACAATGACACAAAATATAAATGAGACCTTTAGAGTTGGACAGAGGGAGTATAATTTACGTGAAGTTGTCTAACTCTCATGTGGTTTCGTAACTCGGCGTAAATCTTTTCTGCTTTAAAACATAAAGAAGCGTCGTACAATTTTCAAACTATTAGGAAGATTTACGCTGAATTTCAAAACTACAAAAGAGTTATGAACAACTTTACGTATAATTTAATTTAATATTTTTTTGGATTAAATTGTTATATAGTTCCAAATGGATGTATGTTGTTTTTATGAAAAATGAAATGAAATGCAGGCTCGTGTAGCAACAAAGAGGATCAAACAATGGGGAGGAGAGGTAGAGCCCATTAAAGAGCATGCGTTGATATAGAGACAAGTGATGGTTTGTATTTTTGTTATCCCTACATGCAATGCACAATGTTATTTATCTCTCTATATATAATTTAAATTGTCGCAGTTATTGTGCTGAATTTTTTAATTAGGACGATGTCTTATATAACAGTAAATAACACACAATATAAAAATAGATAATGCTATATAATTTATGTTAACATAATAAAAATAAAATGCAATATGTGACAAATTATTCGTATATAACATGTATTGTAATTGAGGTTAACATATAACATATGTTTAAACAACATACAATATAAATAGAACTAGAGGTATTTGTAGATAGTTTCCAACTTAATATTGCAACGTGTTGATTAAAAACATCAAATTAAACATTTATTTTTTTATTTTTTATAATTAATTTTACACTCAAAATATTATATCAACATATATTTATATAACATAATGCAACTATTCAAATTCAAAATTTTTACTATTCAAATCTCAGTTCAAAATCTAAACCCCAGACCAACACACAGTACTATGCTGATTGGATCCAGTTCAATGAAAGAGAATTGGGGTATTATATTGAATTTATTAAGAGTTAATGATAAAATAATTTGGTAAACAGAAAAAACAATCATAAATTAGTTATTATTTGTTAAATTTTCAATACAATAATATTGTTTACTGTTTTTCTCAGCTTTAAAACAATAGTTTTATTTTCATAAATAACCATATCACCGTAAAACTATCTCTACTTTTTTATTATTATTACATCATTGCCATTACTTTTTACACTAATATATTCACAAGGGCAAAAAAATCATATATACTTTTGGGACGCAGAGAATATAAATAATCAAATTATGTGTAGATAAATTATTTATTACAAATGAATTATGCATGAGTTTATCAAACAATCAAAATATTTCATTCATACCATTTTTATTAAAAATATATTAATTTTTTTTTTTTTTTATAAAATATCATATTAAAATATTATTTAAATTAAAATACAAATTAAAACTTCAATTTCAAATCAAAACCAATCAAATCTATGGTATCCATCAATTTAGTTATATGGTTATAATTATGCTGTTAATGCGTGTAAATAATATATATAATAAATTCATTAAATTATGTAATAAATTATGAATTAAATAATTTAAGTAATTAGTAAGATATTATTTATATTTATGATGAAACTAATGAAAAATTATTTCTTAACAATTACTCAATCTGTCCCGGATAAATTGTCGTAAATATAGATACAAGAATTTATGTAAAATATAATTATGAATTAATTAAGAAATATATTACTAGAAATAATTATAAATTAATATTAACATAAATGAATAGTTTAATTAATATTAAAAATTTATAAATTATAAAATTTTAAAAATAATTAAAATCTATAATTATATATATATTTTTAAAAAATTATAAATTATGTAGGACGAATTGACGTAAAAAAGAATAATAATATATATGAGAGGTAGAGAATATATCAAATATAAACAGTAAAGATTATGTTCTCTTGTAAATTTCTTACAATATATCTCTTAAAATATAAATTGACAATAAATGATATATATTTTTTTTATGGTCTTTTTTCTCGTACATTTTTTTTTTTCAAAAAATTAATATAGTACGTATATTCATTATTTTTCATTCCTTACACAATTTTATATACTTTATATATAAAAAAATTTACTTTCCAACAATCTCACGATACAAACACTTCCGAAATATAAATTAATAATATAATTAAATTTTTATCGATTTCAATATAATATATATAAAAGAAGATTGTGATATATGATTGTTGGTAGATGATGATAATAATTGATGGATGTACACATCCAAAAGTCGTCCATATTTTTAAATGGATTATATATGTATGTAAGAAAATAAAAGATCTCATCTAAGAGATTCATACTTTATATGAAATGTGTAATACTCCTCCCGTTCCAGATATCGTGTTTGCTACACTGTAGACACTGTATTTTATGAGAGATATAATTAATAGATAATTAAGAATGTATTAGTGAAAATAATTATCCTATAATATAAATAATTATAAATTAAGATTAAGATAACTAATTAGTTTAATTAAAATTATAAAAAATAAAATTAAAAAATTTAAAATGAGATTAAAGTGTGTAATTATTTTCCAAAAAAAGGAAAATGACATGGTATGTGGGACGGACAGAAACGGCAACGTGAACATGATACGTAGGACGGAGGGAGGAGGGAGTATAATGTAATGTAAAATCTTGTTTTAACAGATGTTAAGATCTTGTTCGTAATTAGGGTTTGTTATTACTATTAATTATATAACAATTAATATGAATACAGACTGGCACGACTTTTTCATTTTATTTATTTAAACGAAAGTTTTATATGTATATATATTATCCAAAATACTCAGTTTGTTCATTCAATATTTTTTAAAAGATTTAAATATTAATTTATTATATTAAAACATATACATATTAAAAGATAATTACAAAAATATTTTTATTTTTATAATATTAATAAAAAAATATTTGTAAAAAAATAAAAAAAAAAATTATATAAACGTATGTTATTTATATTTTTTAATTATTAGAAATGCTGAGTCAACAAATATCTTTATATATATATCATAAATTAGTTTAGCTCTGAAGAAGAACTCACGACGAGAAAAACGTGAGTAATGGAGGACGATGTTTTCAGTTTCCGGCAGCCGCTCCTTCCGCCGGAACTCGACGGAGAAGATCAGAAAAACTTTCCGAAGCTGTCCTCCGTCGTCCTCCAATCGTCGAATCACGAAGGCGACGATATTCCCCCAATCTCCGGCTTGCGCAGTCTCTGCAAGGAGTTGACCAGAGAATCGAAGAAGCTTTGGTACTTGGCCGGTCCGGCCATATTCACCTCCATATCGCAGTACTCGCTCGGAGCCATAACTCAGACCTTCGCCGGCCACGTCGGAGACGTAGAACTCGCCGCTTTCTCCATAGAGAACTCTGTAATCGCCGGATTGTCGTTAGGCGTCACGGTACGTAGTAAGGCTAGGGTTAGGTAATTCAATTTTGCAATTAATTGATTATGAATACTTCATCGGAACCTGAAATTGAAGGATTAATGGAGCAGTTGGGGATGGGGAGCGCTCTGGAAACGCTCTGCGGTCAGGCGTACGGCGCCGGAGAGGCGGAGATGCTCGGCGTGTATTTACAGAGGTCGTGGGTGATTCTTCTCAGCACCGCCTCTCTGCTGACGTCGCTCTACGTCTTCGCGACGCCATTTCTGCTGCTAATCGGACAGGAGGAGGAGATATCGCGACTCGCCGGAAAATTCTCCGTGTGGATGATTCCTCAGCTGTACGCGTACGCGCTGAACTTCCCGATCGCGAAGTTCCTGCAGGCGCAGAGCAGAATCGCGGTGATGGCGTGGATATCGGCGTCGGCGTTGGTGATTCACGCGGTTTTGAGCTGGATTGTGATGTTGAGGTTAGGGATGGGAATGGCGGGAGGCGCGGTGGTGCTGAACGCGTCGTGGTGGTACATAGTGGTGGCGCAGCTGGTGTACATATGGACCGGCCGTTGTGGACCGGCCTGGACCGGGTTTAGTTCTAGAGCATTCCAGAATCTTCGGGATTTTGTGAGATTATCTCTGGCTTCCGCCGTTATGCTCTGGTCAGTCACTCGCTACCACTTCTACTGCTCTCAATTGCTTCCTATTTGCACCGCACGTTAGTTCCATGTTTACCTAAATTAGGGTTTCTTTAAATACTCCTACCGTCTTACATAATTTATCATTTTTTTTTTAAAAAAAATTAATTATATATTTTAATCATATTTTAAAATTTAAATTATTTTATTTAATTTTAATTAAACTATTTAGTTATTTTAATATTAATCTATAATTATTTTTACTCATACACTTTTTAATTACTTATTAATTATAATTTACCTAAATTTTTGTATTTACAGTAATTCACCCATATTATCTAGATCGGAAGGAGTAAATATTATACTCCCTCCATTCGGTGATAAATTTTGTGTTTGATATTTGCATAGGGATTAAAGTAAATTAGTACTTTCTTCGTCCCAGATATAGTGTCCGTTTTAGTGTAATAACATGAATTTACGATAGATATAATTACTAAATAATTATTGTATAATAAAAATAATTTTAAATTGAGATTAAGATAATTAATTAATCTAATTAAAATTTAAAAAATTATACATTTAAAAGTTTAAATTGAGATTAAAATGTATAATTTTCTATGAAAATAATATATTAAGTGGGATATACGGTCATTGAAAGATAGACACGGTATATGAGATAAAGGAAGTATTTTATAGATATATAATATAATAAAATAATATAATATTCATTTTACTTTTGAAAAGTACTGAAAAAAAGTAAAAAATAGAGGTATTTTACTATTTAATTGAGAGTTATCTTTTTTTAAAAAGAAAACAATGACAAGTTTTAATTTGAAAATGAGAAGTTTAGTAGTTGATAAAAAGGGTGTGTTTGTTTGGGAATTTGGATTTTAAGTTGAGATTTGAATACTAAAAATTTTGAATTGTAATAGTTGCATGATGTGATATAAATAAATGTTGATGTGATGTTTTAAATGTAAAATTAATTTTTAGTATAATATAAAAATTAAAAAATAAGTGTTTAATTTAATATTTTTTGAGAAAGAAATTGATTGAATAGTGAAAATCCAGGGAAATCCCCCAAAAGAACACATTTTTCTCCTTAAAATCACATAAAAATACTCCCTCCGTTGCAAGGTTTACATTTATTTTTGGCGCGGTGTTTAAGAAATAATAGTATTTTAATTATAGTGAGTAGTTAAAAGTAGTGTAATAACATTTTTGCCTTTACTTTTTTGTGTAAAAACAATGATGTGATGTAAAGTAAGGGTATTTGTGAAAAAAAGTATGATATTTAATGAACTTTGTAATTGAACGTCCCAAAATAGAAATATGTAAACATTATAAGTGGATGGAGGAAGTACTATTTAAATTAAAATTTCAAATCAATTCTTCATTTCAAATTAATTTTCAACCACAGGCAAAGAAACCATTAGATTTGAGATTTGAGATGAGATTTTATTTGGATTTTCATTTAAATAATATTTTCATGTAATATTTTATGAGAAGAAATAATATTTTTTTATGAAAAATAAAATACCATTATTTATATTATACAATACTATAGGGGTATTTTCGTCTTTGCAAAAAATAAACGACAATCTTGCACTGGGAGAGAATATTATTCATCCATACAGTTTCTAATAATATATTATTTATTTTACAAAATATCATATTGAAATACTATTGAAACAAAAACTCAAATCAATACTTTATTTCAAATCAATTTCAAATTACAATTAAACAATAATTTTTTTTTTCATTTTCCTTTTTATTTTTATTTTTAAAGGTTTACTTATCGTATTTAGTATAAGAGTGTTTGGGAAATACTACTGTAAAATTTTTTTATTGGAACCTAAAAGCTATATATATATATATAACATTATGTAATTTTTTTTTTAAAAAAAATATTTGTATGACTCTCATAACATAAGTAATACTAGTACTTACTGATAATTATGTGATGAATTTTTTAGTTGCATTATTTAGTAGTAATTATTCTAATGTATTTCTATTTTTGGGTAAACTATTTTTTAGTCCCGTAACTGGACCCTTATTATTTTAGTCTCGTAAGTAGAGCCCGTAACTGTCCGCGTGGCTTGCCGGAGGTGACGCTGACCTGGCGGACACGTGGATTTTTTTTATTCTTTTTTTCATTTTTCTTAAAAAACTTATTTTTAATTTATTTTTAATTTTATTTGTATTTTTTTATTTGGTCCAATTAAAAAAAAATTAAAAAATGAAAAAAAAATAAATCAACGTGTCGGTCAGGTGTCGCTGATCAGGAGGGACACCTGGCGGACACGTCACCTCCAGGGAGCCACGCAAGCGTCTCTGGCGCCGGAGGACTAAAACAACGAAAATTTTTCACTTATGGAACTAGTTTGCGACAGGCTCTACTTACGGAACTAAAATGATAAAGGGGTCCAGTTACTACGGGAGTAAAAAAATAATTTACCTTCTATTTTTTAAATTATAAGTATAATTTTTTAGTATAATCAGAATATAATAAAATACTACATAAAAATATTTTAATTATAAATATTAATTAAGTATAAATAATTACTATTAAAAGATTGTTTTATCAAACACTTCTATACAAGCAAATAATATATTGAATTAGTCAAAAGGTTAAGATATCATTTATATTTATTTTAAATGATACTATTAAATAAAAAGTGATATTCTAGCAGTTGAAGGACATTGTTTAATAATTTTGATTAGTAAATTCCAAATTGTTTAGTGCAATCATATCCTAATATTCTTATTTATTTATTTTATTCGACATTCCTAAATCCCAACACTATTATTTTATTGAGATGGTTATGATGCTGATTTTTTTAGTATAATGCTGATTTTTAATATCAGTATGCATTATATATACAAACAGTATAAATTAGTATTACACGCAACACATATTGTATATAATAAATGTATGTATTATTTTTTTAATAATAACAAGTGTGTTGTATATAAGTATGTCATGTGCTAAAATCAACTGTTGTGTGTGCTGTATGAGACTATAACATGAGCTGTTAATTCATGTGTTGTATTTGTATTATATTAACATATACAATGTATTGTCTATAGTAATATTGTGTGTTGTTGAAATTATAGCATACATTTTTTGTTTGTAGTAATATTGTGTGATGATTAATAGCACATGATGTGCTGTTCAACACAATGCTGAATTTTAAATTCAGCACTGTAGCCGCCACCTATTTTATTACTATATATACAACTAATTTTATTGTAAATATGAATATTTGGACAGTCTCGAGACGTGGTACTTCATGGCGCTGATTTTATTTGCTGGATATTTGAGGAATGCTCAAGTTTCAGTCGATGCTCTTTCCATATGGTATTATGTATTAATTCCTTCTTATTTATTTTATTTTATTTTATTATTATTATTATTACTATTTATTTTTTACATTTAAAACATCGCATAAACACCTATTTATATCAGGTTATACAACTATTCAATTCAAAATTTTTACTATTCAAATTCCAATTCAAAATCCAACCCCCCAAACAAACACATCTCTTTATAATTCAATCGTTCAAAGTAAACGCACCCATAATGTAGTTCTTGTAATAACATTGTGTATTTTCATGTAGTTTATCATTTAGCACCGTAACGGCATTTTTCAGCAAAAACAATACATGTTGTGTTAGCTTAAACTATGTATTCACGGTTTCATATATTGTGTGTGTTGTATTAACATATCTTATGTGCTGAGATCAATGAACAATGTGCTCTGTTAACAATTGTCATGTGTTATCAATTTATATAATATGTTCATATAATATTAATACAAACGATCTATTATCTTTTGTTATATATTGCGATGTCTTTTTGTAATGTCTTTTGTTATATATATATATATATATAAATATATTATACTATCATCGTCGTGTTGAATTTTTAAACTCAACACTCTAACCGCAACTTCTTGTTGTCCATATATAAATTGTTCTTCTATTACATCACTTATCTAAGTTCAAAATCATAACTAATTCCTACTGTTGTATGCCACACAGTGCAAACATATTAGGATGGACGCTCATGGTAGCCATTGGATTCAATGCAGCTATAAGGTATATACATACATACATTTCATCAGCCCACATAAGTCTTAAATTCTGAAACATAATATTCATTTTAGTCCGTCTCATAACAAAATATTCATTTCATATTTTTAATAATTGTACTATCTGTCCAACATTACAATATCATTACTTTTATATTATATAATACTAATAAGGTTAGTTTAGTTTTTTTACTTTTATTTTTTCTACGTCTCAATATAATATTAATATTTTTAAAACTCCATGCAAAAAGTAAATTGATAAATAGATATAAGACAGAGAGAGTATATATTTAGAGAAAATAGCATATAATATAAATTTTAATAGTAGGCATGATTGATTCTAGTTCATTTCCTTTGTAGTATAGCACTATGGAATCAAATCATTCATTGCTTTTTCAATGAATTTGGTCTGACCTATTGGATCAAGTGTTGATGGAGATATTCAAACAAATGAATGATTTGGAAAGAATCCCATAAAGTGAGAACTTATAGGAGAGGATAAACTAATTGGGACATCAATTAGAGATGATGGATGTAAAGGATAAAGAATCCAACACACTATTCTTACCCTCATTAAGCCTATAATGTCATTAGTTTTTTTGAGATAAAACCCGGCAACCATGCAGTGTAAGAGTGTCGAATGAACTGGGCGCAATTCATCCAAGAACAGCAAAGTTCTCCGTATTGGTGGTGGTGATGACTTCCTTCGTCACGGGCTTGATTATCGCCGGTTTCCTTCTCATCTTCCGGAGACAATATCCTTCCTTATTTACAGACAGCCCAGAAGTCAAAAAAGTTGTGGATACCCTCACACCTTTGCTTGCATTCAGTATTGTGATCAACAATGTCCAACCAGCTCTTTCAGGTAAAAAGACCATAAGGGCCTATGATTTTAAGAGAACAATACATAATAGCACATTATTCGATTTCTTGAGATTAGGAAGAATTAAAGTATTAGTATTGATCCAGGTGTGGCCATTGGAGCTGGATGGCAAGCTTTGGTTGCCTATGTTAATGTGGCTTGCTACTACTTGTTTGGCATACCTTTGGGCCTCATTATGGGGTTTACACTCAAAATGGATGTCTCAGTAAGTGCAGCAATGACAATCCAATCTTTAAACTTTAAAGGCACATTTATTTTTCCTATATGATGACACAAAACTAATCTTAAATCATGTTTACTTTTAGGGTATTTGGTATGGAATGCTGGCAGGAACAATGCTACAAACTCTGATTCTCTTCTGGATTGTTTATAGAACAAACTGGGATACAGAAGTATGCCTTCCCTAAACAATAAATCAAATATGCCAATCCCACATTCTTTGTTTCCCTCCAAGACTCAAGCTTTTTTGGGTGTTTTTTTCAGGCTTCGGCTGCAGCACTGAGGATCAAAGTGTGGGGTGGAGATCTACATGTCCAATCAAACACCATTGGGTAGTAAAAGTGTGTTCTTTTGGATTGCTTTTTGAGTTTTTTGGATTTCAATTTTTTGAAGGAATAATAAGGGTTTGTTATTTTCAGTGTTTTGATGAGTTTCAAAGTTAGCAGAAATATAATATAAGCAAGTGATCACAGCAATTAAGGATTGGAAAGCAAGCTCATATGATCAAATTGAATTGAATTGCAATTTGCAGCTACTGATAGAATCAATCACAAAGAGATTATAACTCGCACAAAATTGCAGTAACTAATGCAAATAAAGGTAGAATTTTTGTTGAAACGCTTATTGGAAGTATCTAAAGGCTCTATAGATAAGAAACGTACCGAGTATCAAGCGGTGAGCACGACGGCGCCACCAGCTTCTTTAATTTTCTTCTCGGCGACCTTCGAGACAAGCTTCGTCTTCACGACGACCGGCGTGTTCTCCGGCAAGGCGCCTTTCCCTAATACCTTGAAATACCCAAACTGCGTGACGTCAACCAACGGCGCGTTATCCTTCGACGCCTTGTCTTTGATTTCCTGAGGGATCATCGACCAGAGGCTTTCGACGTTGACGATAGGGCAGTGGAATTTGTTCCGTAGCCTATGGAAATATCGCATTCCGACCTTCCCGAAATAGCCAGGGTGGTACTTGTCGAACAGGATCCGGTGGTGGTGCATCCCTCCGGCGTTTCCACGACCGCCTGGATGCTTGCGGTGCTTTCCGATCCGACCATGTCCCGCGCTAACGTGGCCGCGCTTCTTCCTGTTCTTCTTGAAGCGAGTCGTCATGGCCGGCGGTAGCTCTCAGCTGCGGCGGAGTGAAGAGAATTAGGGTTTTATAATTGGGGATTTGCCGGGGTACAGATGGAAATTCACTTTCAGTGATGGGCTGAAAAGCGCTGAAAGAGAGAAATCGCTTTATAGCAGAAAACGCGACTTTAAGCAAAAGTTTATTGTGAGTATAATCTGGCTTTCGACATGCATTTATTACCTTAAATTGTGTGTTTAACATTACATTTTCTAATAATTATTTCGAAAATTACGAATTATCAGGAAAGAAAGATTTGTACGTGACTCTCTTCTCTTCTCCATTGGCGTGAACGAGTGGTGCCGCCGCAAGACAGCATATTATGCAATCCATTCTAAAGAAAGCCAAGATTTCCTTTTACTTCATACCTGTAATTCATTCATGGCTCTGGCCATACGCAGCCTCCCTCCTCTCTCCGGAATTCTCGTCCCCAAAAGAGAACCGCCATTAAGAATTCGTTCAATAGATTCCCAATTCAATCAGGAAAGGGCCCAGCTCAAACACTTATTAGGTTACAGTAAAAGATTCCGCGGCATTTCCCCTTTAAAATCGGCTTCAGTGAATGGGTATCCCACGAACAGGGAAGACGAGGAGGCTGTTTTGATCGGGAGAATAGAGTTGTTGGAGAAGATTAAGAAATGGGTTGGATTTGTAGGGGAAGTTTTACCCGGTGGAGAGTGGTGGAGGCTTTCGACTGAAGGGATTGAGGATGTGATTTCTGCCAAGCCCGTGACTGTTGTTCGGGCTCTCAAGAAAATGTGGGAATTGATTGCCCAGGATCGATGGCTCATATTCTCTGCTTTTCTTGCACTCATCGTCACTGCAGTATGTGTTATTCGATGACTCGTTTATACTGTTTCTCAGACATTCCTTTGGTTATGATCTTAAATGTAGTGAATGCAATTGTTCTTGCAGTTGGAGTGGAGAAATTGAAATTTGACTTAAATGGCTGCTTAATTTTGTTGTTAGTTTTGGTCTATTTTAGTTTGATTTTCTGTTGTTAATGTATTATAAATGTGGTTGATAAGCATGATGGCTATTGTTCATATGTTTCTATTTGCTGAATTTTCATTCATTGGGCTCAGGTTTCAGAGATATCGATACCTCATTATCTTACTGCATCCATCTTTTCTGCACAAAGTAGCACAATTGCTCTGTTCCATCATAATGTGCGCCTGCTGGTTGTACTGTGCATCGTCGCTGGAATATGCAGGTTAAAATCTTGTACGGTCGTAACTCCCTTCCTTTGAGGTTTATCTAGTGACTAGCTGCAGTTCAAGAGCAAATGATATGAGTAACATGAATATTGTGTGACATTGAATATCTTTTCTCGAGCAAAATTTGCTATTTCTTTCTGTTCTTGTTTTTCTCTCTTATATACATGACTAGTTTTTAGGCCGCTGATTCTTCTGTCCTCAAACTTGCAGTGGTGTGCGCGGTTGCCTGTTTGGTATTGCAAATATGATCCTAGTGAGTTTTCGGTTCATCATTTTATCTAGAAGTGGAAATTTAATTCACTATTTAAAGAAGCATTTGGAAGTGCCGAGTAAGTGGTTTGCCTATGAAAATGGATGCTCCTTCTGATTGTAGTTTATTCTTGGTTTGTTCAGGTCAAGCGACTACGTGAAAGATTATATTCTGCGCTTCTTTTACAGGTTCTTGAGATCTTGCGTACCTCAAAATTTATTCTGATATTAAATGATCTGCCTATGTGTGTAACATAAAGCAAATACTTTTTTTTATTTTCGAAGAATTAAACAAAAGTAAGTAAATGTAGGAATTTGATCATGTCTAATATGGATATCCTGCAACTTCTAATTCTTAGATAATCTAATGGGCATTGGGATTAGTCTTAATACTATGCTTCCTAAAAGTGTGTTCGCCTACATGTAATTTGCTTGCCGACCCTTTGAAAATTGGTGATTAATATGTTTTTCTTAACCCTTTTAGGATATAGCCTTTTTTGACTCAGAAACAGTTGGTGGTTTGACAAGTAGGCTTGGTTCAGATTGCCAACAAGTCTCTCGGGTGATAGGAAATGATCTAAATCTAATAATGCGCAATGTTCTTCAGGTTGGTTGTCATAGACTGTTATTTCTACGAAACACTTTCTACAGAATTTTTGTGAACTGAGATCCACATCACTGTCACCTGTAGGGTTCAGGTGCTTTGATTTACTTGCTGATTTTGTCGTTGCCTCTTGGGCTCTGCGTACTGGGTATTTGTATCTCTGTTTCAGCTATTATGGTGATATATGGCCAGTAAGTTTCTCCTGGTTACTTAATATTGGTGGATTAGTTTTATTGTTGTGCTATCGTCTGTTTGTATCATAAATATTTGCTTGAAGATTGAGCACATTCCGAAATTGTATTTCTTGTATGTACATTGAATAGTTCAATAGTATAGGATTTTTATAAGTAGATGAAATTTGCATGTTGTTTATTCTAGTTCAGAAATTTCTCCCTAACTATGTAACCCGAATTATTTTTAGAATTTAGCCACCGGCTAATTCTCATTTTGGCACTTTCTTCAATAGGTACCAGAAGAAATCTGCTAAGTTAATTCAAGAGTTCACTGCTTCTGCCAATGATGTACAAATCTTGAGACTGATTTTATATTCGTTAAGTTGATTGAGTTTCTGAAATTAAAGTCTTTCTTTGTTGTTGTAAAGGTTGCACAAGAGACCTTTTCTTTAATGAGAACTGTACGTGTATACGGGACAGAAAAACAAGAACTTGGAAGGTAAATTTATAGGATTGTGCAATTTACTTGCTCATCAATCATGAATGACTAAATGTCTTGGCTTAAATATTTGAAAATGTAATATATCTCACCGCCCACTCGTGCTCTTGTAAGATTTGCATTCTCGACAGTGGATATTTTATAATTTCATAATTTGTAGTAGTTCCATAGCTGTAAATAATAATACAAAATTATAGGTGTGTTTTGATGTATTTTGGATTTGAGTTTTTTTTTTTTTTTTTTTTAAAGCATGGGTTTTAAGTATAATGTTTTTTAGAAGGAGAATATATTTTACCAGAGATTACATCGAATGAAAACTGAAAAAAACAAAAACAAACACACTCTTACACATTGAACATTGTTTTTGCTTCTCATTTTTCTCCAACTCCTTTTTAACTTATTCAACACTCTGGTGAGTAGATATGACCAATGGCTGGAGAAAATAGCGAGCATAAGCTTGCGACAAAGCGCTGCATATGGTGTTTGGAACTTCAGCTTCAACACACTCTATCACTCGACACAGGTTGAACCACTTCAAGGCAGATATTGAACCTCTTACTCTTAACTTAGTTTCGATACTAATACAGTTCTGGGAAATAGAAATGTTTCATATTTGATTACATATCAAAATTTATGTGACTGATTTGTGTCGTTTATTAAGCATTGAGTAATTTCATTTGATGCAGCATTCTATCTGAGAAAATTAAGAAAACTTTAAAAAGAGACTATGAGCTCATGATGCATCTCGTTGGCGAATCAAACTGTAGATTTCAAATGTATTAAAATGGCGAAAAACTTAACGACTCCTATAAATTCCATAGGTTATTGCTGTGCTGATAGGAGGAATGTCTATTCTGAGTGGTCATATAACAGCGGAGCAGCTTACAAAGTTCATTTTATACAGTGAATGGCTGATCTATTCAACATGGTGGGTCGGGGATAACTTGTCATCATTGATGCAGTCCGTTGGAGCTAGTGAGAAAGTTTTTCATCTTATTGATCTTTCTCCGAGCGATCAGTTTACTGCAAAAGGCACGTGCTTTTCGACTTTCATGCTCACTCATTTCCATTTCGGATATAATGTTTGAAACTTGAAATAATGACTGAGAAAAAATGGAAAGAATGGGGACATAGTAAGGAAAAATTTCTGTTTGGCTCTCTTTGTAAATTGTAACAGAGATCTCGAAACTATGTTTAATACCGACGAATTGAACTTACATTCTAATTTATTACAGGATTAAAGCTGCAGAAGTTGATTGGTAGAGTTGAATTTGTTGACATATCCTTTCACTATCCTTCCAGAACTGAGGTGAGTATGTTCTTCTCGGCGCTGTTCTGGTCTTTAGCACTATCATTGCTTCTCTTTCAATATCCTCTGCCAATGTCTTGCCTGATGGTTCTTATCCCATGTCTGTGACTGTATATAGCTCATAAAAGAGGTTATTTTATTTTCGATCATCAGGATTCGTAAGTTAATTTCAGTTTAATAATCAAGAACATTATTTCAACTACATCCGGTACACTCCTTATGATTGCATAAATTTTATAGTATTGAATAAAGAAACTTCGACACAATCAGTGATCAGGAGCATAAGTTGTTTGTCAATATACTTCAAGCAAATCAATCTGCCTTTTTTTTCTTTTAGGTGGTTGTTTTTTGGCGACTCATTTCTCATGTCGGAACTGGAACTCATTGATACTGAAAAATGTTTTTTTCTTTTTTCCGCCCTGTTTCGTGAACAGGCGCCCGTATTACAACATTTTAACTTCACGGTGCATCCAGGGGAAATAGTTGCCTTTGTAAGTTTATTTTCATTTTTGGTATTTTCGGGTTTTCGCCTTTATCTTTGTCGGATGGTAAAAAATTTACGTTCTTTCCCAGGTCGGGCTTAGTGGTAGTGGCAAGAGCACCGTAGTGAACCTTTTGCTTCGCCTTTACGAGCCAACTAATGGCGAGGTAAAACCATTTTCGCCACATCATATTATCGTCAATCTGTTGCTCGTGAAATCTTATGACCCCATTGTTGTAATCCCAGATACTGATTGACGGCTACCCGATGAAAGGACTGAACATTAAGTGGCTTAGAGAAAGGATCGGATACGTTGGGCAGGTGCCGTCAAAGTAGCTTCTACTCTTAACTTATCTAAATACTCTTACCAAAGTTTTGTTCGATTTTTTAGGAGCCGCGCCTCTTCCGCATGGATGTTTATTCGAACATTAAATACGGATGTCCTCATGATGTAAGCCAGCAGGATGTCGAATGGGCAGCTAAGCAAGCATTTGCGCATGATTTCATATCATCACTCCCCAACGGCTACCAAACACTTGTCGACGATGATTTGCTCAGCGGGGGACAAAAACAGCGAATCGCCATTGCCAGAGCCATTCTACGGGACCCCAGCATTTTGATCCTCGATGAAGCTACAAGCGCACTAGACGCAGAAAGCGAACACAATGTTAAGGTAATGCAAATTTTATCCGAAGAATTGAACCCTAATCCATCTTCTTTATTGTTGCTTTTGCTCTTTGATCGCAGGGCGTTCTTCGTTCTGTTCGCCGGGACCTCGACAGCAAGAGGACGGTTTTCGTGATCGCTCATAGGTGCGTACGAGTCTCCAAATGCATAATATCTCCATTGCAGTGTCGATTTTTGATTCATATCTTTCTCCAGGCTCTCGACCATCCAAACTGCAGACCGGATCGTAGTGATGGATGCCGGGAAAATCGTGGAGGTATGTTTGTTCCGTCTAAGCTCCCACTTCCACGTCATTCTTTACGACGTTTTGAAATACCACAAATGCTGTGCCATTGCAGATCGGCGATCACACGGAGCTCCTAAACAAAGATGGCTTGTACGCACGTTTGATCAAACGACAGGCTGATGCAGTTGCCTGATCGAAGAACATTATCAGTGTCGTAGGCATTTTCATCGAAAAAATTGTTCTTCTGCAGTCCTCAGTGTACAATGGCTGTTTGTGAAACCATTCTTGTGTCGTATGAGAGGAGATTTTTGTATATACATTGATGCTCCCTTTTTAAACCTCAGAAAGAAACAATGAATTGTATACAGTTTGGGAGTGTTCTTTTTTATCAAAATTTTGCATAAACCCTAAAGAAACACATGTATCCAAGAACCGGGTGTTCGGCTCCCGGGACTTTCCAACTTGAGACCCGGGAGTTCTTCATTTTCCCTTTCACTAGTAGAAAAGAGAGGATCGTCGGGGACAGTGGCGATATAAAAACCCTTCAACGCAGAACGGTGCTCTGTAGAAAAATCTCGACATGGATTACCAGCAGCCCCATGGCTACATGAGGCCGCCGCAGGCGCCACCGCCGCCGCCGCCGCCGGGGGCGGATCCTTACCAGAGGCCTCCGCCTCCTCCAACCCACCCGCAATCGAACTATCCCTGGGGTTACTCGGCTCCGCAGTTTCAATACCAGCCGCAAACACAGCATTCGCCTTCGCCGCCGCCGCCGCCGCAGTGGCCTCCGCCGCAGTCCACTGACCACGGTCAGTACTTTCAGCCCCCTTATCCTGCGCATCACGCTCCGCCTTATTCTGGTAATCCTCGCTACCCGCTGCCGCCGCATCCGCTTCAGCCGAGGCCGTTTCACGCTCCTCAATCTCAGGTATTTTTGTTGAGTTTGGGTTTCTTTATTTCTTGTAATAGTAGCCAGAGTATCTGCTTTTCTCCTCCCCTCTTGTTTTGATTAGAAATGCTTGTATTGCTATTATTGAGCCAGGTATGTGATTGAGTTGCATATTTTGGAATTGCTCGTTTCATGAATGTAAATTAGTTAATAGATTATGGTTTTAGTCTTTCTTAGTCTTCTCAAAGATGCTTTGCCTTCAAGATTCTTGTTTTTTAAGAGAAACAGATAGATTAACGTCTGCTGGAGTGTACGGTATTGATATGAAAAAAATGAAATGCCTCCTGTGATTTTTTATCTTACTCTTCAACAAACCTGGAAGTAAGAGCTATAAGATGACTATGTTTCAGGCCATCATAATCTTGATTATGGATGCACTTTAAGCTCATCACAGAAGATTATTTATTAAATCATCTGTGTAACATTATCTCATATTTATCACATGTATTTGTGTGTACATTCTTGTAGTGAATAGTTTCCACTTATATGTTCCGAACAACACACAATAAAATATGATTGCAAAGACATTACACATCATAAATGGTTTTTTTATCATATTCAAATTTACTAGTTACACCTAATTAACAAAGCATTAGGAATTTGAAGTTTGAACGTTGTCTCCCCTTTGTTGCAGGATTGGGCTGGTGGCAGCTGGACTCCCCATCAGAGTTGGCAGTATCCAAGTCAGTAGATGACTTTTCTTATTTTCTGAGAGATTAATGTGCTTGTGTTGGTGTTCATTATTTATGTGTATATTATGTGGATTAGGAAATCCTGCAGACCTATGTGTTTTGTATTTTATTGGTTACCGTATGTTTACTTGTTTTATAATTTTGGCTTACATTAAATTGTTCTTAGATGCATTAAGCTACTTCCTTTTCATGTTTTTGTTTGTTTCTCTTAATGAATACATATGATAACTTATCAAATGCATATTTGAATGAAAACAAGCAGAAAAAAATTATCCTCTATTTAATAGATAGTCACTTATATTTGTTAGCCAATATGTTCATTGCTTGTAGTACCGTTGTGGATATCATGTGGATAAAATTGGTCTGAAAGCCTAGTATTAAACTGTTATAGGCTTATAGCTCCAAGTAAAATTTCATTCCAGAAAATTTTCCAAGTTGGGTTCTTCTGTTATCTGCATTAAAAATTCTGAATATCAATAAATGTGGAGCTGTGCTTGGAATAATCTCTCTATTTATGCCATAGAGTATTTTACTGTAAGAAAATTCTGAAGCTAGATATCTTTTCTTTACTTTTCCAGTATTAAATATCTTTGCATCCCTGAAGCATGTGGTTGTTGCTTTTACCCCTAAAGCCCAACGATTGAAAAGGACTGGGGAGCATATTTGTAGAATAAAAAGTCACACACTTCTTCAGTATTTGTATTGAAAATGAAATGATGAATATGTTTTAGCTTGTTGAAAGACATCTACTCTTAAGCAGATGGATGCCCCATCCGGTCTATAAACCTTGACAGAAATCCATCAGAACCTCTTTTTAGATTTTCTTGTTTCTGTGTTTAGTAGAAGCAGATGATTTGCTTTGCACCATTGGTGTTTTTAAGTTGACAAGGAGTTGGGCTTTGGGTTTGTGGGATTTTATATGCTTCTTAGAAAATTAATGATGTTTGAACTCAGAAGGTGCTGTCTGATATGCATATCTCAGAAGGACATGTGTCATGAAGGTAAGGGTAATTGAGCTACCATAGTACTCAGAACAGATTAATGTGTCAGGGGAAAGCATTGTTAGCTTGAAAGCATGTTCCTTAGATTCTTCGTCTGTAACCTTTGTGGAACTATCAGGAGTTGTTTGTCCTTTCCTATTGAATTGTGAAGTGTGCATTTTCCTGTATGCTTAACAAATCACGACTTGTGAGGCTTTGGTTTCTCTTGCCAAATTTTAATATGGAGCATGGATAAGTTTCCGCATGAATGTGTGATAGTTGAAGTTGCAACCAAAGGTGGGTGTTTAGTATTTTGCATATTTTTGCTGAATTTGAAGAGTTTTTTCCCCTGCAGCAAATAACAATGAAGAAGACTGGGCAGCAAAAGCTAGAGCATGGGCTGCTGCAAATGCTGCTAACAACAATCAGCAAGGGCAGCAGCCACAGTTTGTTCCAGGTGTACGGCCAGAAGGGCAGAGTCATTTTCATGACCAATATTCACAGCCAGCCGAGCCTCAATCTCATGATGGGCACACACTACCTCCTGGATCTAACTATCAACTGTATCCTGTGGGACATCCAAGTAGAACAAATCCAGGCCAAATGCAGGATTCTCAGTATGTCAGTTCTGGTCAGCCATCATATGATGCAGGCATGCATGCGGCATTTGCTTCAAGAGATGGAGGCTTGGCTGGAGATTCAGTTGCACCATCCCATCAACAAGAGAAGCCATCTATAAGTCCGTTATCCTATCAGCAGGAGGTACCTTCTAGTTATTCTTCTGTTGCAGGTAAAAATTTAAATAGTACACACTGATACTGAATGTGGATCTTCAAAAACATTTCTTTTTGCTCTGAAAACTAATGAGTGATACGTAATCACCACAATAGCATGTACTTGAACTGCATAAAACACAAGAATTGACTATGTTGGAACCACATAAAACTCAGAAACTTTCGAACCAAATATTCCAACAAAGTGTATTTCATTGTGATCACTATTGAGATGGTTGTGGATTGTAAAGCTGATCACATACATGATAGAATAAAGGGATGCATTTATAACAGTTGTACTTTTCATTTTCATGTTGCAAATGTTGGCTTAGCTCATATGACTTTTTCTGAAGGAAGACTTGCGTTGTATATAAACAAGAAAAGCTTCCTGACTCATATTCGTTATTGCAGGTAAGGATGAGGCTGGGAATGGATCTGAAAAGGTTAACAGCTCTGCTCCTCTGCCTGTAATCTCCGGTACACAACCTCAGTCACTACTGCCTGCGGGCGTCAGATCTGGATGGACAGAAGAGACCCAAAATTCACTTGGCAGCCAACCTGCTCAGCCAATGACAGATCTAAGCGATCAGCCACTGAATTTTGCACCTCATTTTAATCGTGAAGCACATGCACACACACAGCCCATTTACACTCATTCTTCAGCAGGGACTGGGAGAGGTGGGGATCCTGCTGTGCCTATATCTTCAAACTATGCATGGAATCCCCCTTCTGTATCAGGGGTAGTTTACCCTCCTGGGATTCCACCTATCCCCACAACACCACAGGTTTTGAACCTGAATCTACACATTCTTGTCTCTATGTTTTTGGTTTGCATGTTAATTATTTTCATTCAAACTCTTTCATATTTCGTAGATTGATCATCCAATACCGGTTTCTGGACATGCAACTCCTATGTTTCCTGCTGGACCAGGCTTTCAGCCAACTGTCCCGATGATAGGCCCTGCTTTCGGTGTTGGTACAGGTGTAATGTCTCATCCATCAGCATTCTCTGGAGATGCTTATGGTGTTTCTGACCGCCCTAAAAAGGTATGTGTATATTTATCGTTCTACCAATTGTTTTGTATCTGAAAACTACTATTGGAATATTGGATAAACAATACATCTCATGAACTTCAGGTATCCATACCTAATTGGGTAAGGGAGGAGATAATAAAAAACAAAGCTGTTATTACGAGTACCACCGCAGGCACTCCTAAAGAAGATAGTCAATCCATTGATGAAGATAATTACAGGAAGGGAGATCAAGCAGATAGTAAGAGCATTGATTCTTTCAGATCAACTGAGGATGAGGATGAGGTGATCTCTCTCCCTCTCTCGCTCACACACACACACAACTAAAAAGCTGTTAAGAAATTACTCCCTCCGTCGGGAAATTTAGTCCCGCTTCTTTGTAATAATACAAAGGAATGGGGTTAAGTTTACTGGAAGGAGGAAGTATATTAATGTTATAAATGGTGAAGTTTTGACTTGGATCATTACTTTTGACAAGTTCTATCTACTGTTTAGCATCCTCTCATTGAGCTAGTGTTCTCCCTTATCTAAAATACCCGATGTTTTACCAAATCTGTAATCTTGTATGATTGCTTTGTTGAACCATTGCACTGTGTCGGCTTGGCCCTTCATAACTGGAGATAGAATAAAGTGCCCATAATGAAGATGTAGTCTTCTAGCCAAATTTACCACAAATGTGGACTGAGATGGAATTGAACAAGAGATTAAGAGGAAGTTGTTACGAATGAAACCTGTTGTTGATACCCTGTTAAATGTTTATATAAATTAACGAAGTTCTGAAATGTCATTCTGGAAACTGGTAACACTACAGGAATTCACACATTCTTGCATTTCTAATTAATGGAGCCATGAATTGTCTAGGGTTTGAATTTTTATATTCTAGGTTGTATAGTGCTAATTTATAGTTTTTATCATTTAAACTTAACAGGAGCAGTCATTCTTTTAGTTTTTGCTCATCTTTTGTTTCTTTGCAGGATGAGGTGGAGGCTGCTAGAACTGCAGCTATAAACAGGGAAATAAAACGTGTGCTTACTGAAGTCCTTTTGAAGGTGCAGCTACTCAATTACTAAAAGATTTCCCATTACAATACCAGAAATATTTAAGTATACATTCTTTTCAGGTCACTGATGAACTTTTTGATGAAATTGCAACCAAAGTTCTTAAAGAAGGTGATCTTTCCATTGAAGGTAACTCATGTAAAGCTTAATGCGTAGTCATTCTTTTTCTTTTGAGATGTTACTCAGATTGATGCTTAAGAAATTTGATTCAGTATATGTTAGTTTCATCTCCTTGAATACTAAAGCTTTCTTTTTTAGTTGGCCAAGATATGGACATTCCAGACAACCACGCATTACCATCTACTCCATCTATTTCAACACCTAAGGCCTCTGCCAAGGTTCTGGTTTCAACCAAGACCAAGGAAAATGATCATGAGGATGGTAGTGAAAAGTCAACATTTGGACCTGGTGATATACTAGGTCTAGCTAGTTATGCTTCAGATGAGGAAGATGAAGAGGTAGAGAGTTCAACTAAACCAAGTTCAAAGGAAAATGCCACGCATCAGCAACTTTTGGAAGATAATCCGGTGATTGAGAATGATCGTTCCCAGGAAGAAGCAGAGAAACAAGGAAATCTTCCTGAGGCAGCTGATGGCATTGGCAGAAAAAGTCCAGCCAATGCTTATCCTAGCGGTAGTGTTGCAGATACAGATAATAATGATGATAGAGCAGAGAGAGGGTTGTCAACCGCAATTGACAACCTTTCATCCGGGGGATTGCCTGGGAGTGCTGAAGATGAGTTGCAACATGTCTCTGGTGTTTCCAAGTTAAGCAATCATAAAACTGACAGGACTGCAGGGGTAAATGAAAAACTAGATGGAGATTTAGATGCTAGAGGTTTGGAAAATGATGATTTTCAAACCCAAAATAGATCTGACAAGAACGATAGACTTGAAAGCAAGAAGAAGTTGGGTAAGAAAGTAATTAAAGATTCAGAAAGTTCCAAGGAAAGGTTAGATAAGAAGGGACATGACAGGCACCGAAGGCATGAAGAAAGGCAATTAGAAACTGAAAGGATTGACGATCCTGATAGCTTTAAAGATAAATATAAGGACAAAGACAGAAATAATGAAAAGGTGAAGCACACTGAATCAAGGAGACACCCATCTCCTTCTACAGGCAATGAAGGAGTTGAGGTATGGAGAGAGAAAAAAACTACGCAAAAAAATGATAATGATGATAGAAAACAAAACAGAAGACGGGATGAAAAAGAAGAACGATCTAGACATAGAAGTGGGAGTGATTCTAAACGCCATAAGCGGCATCATTCTAGTGATGAGTCCTCAGATGACTCAAAAAGGTATGCTTTCCAAACAAAATATGCTGTCATCCTTGTTTAGAATGTAAGATATTTTCTCACAGCGACTAATCTTGTGGGCAGGAAATCGCGACACTCGAGGCGACATAGATCTCCATCACCCATAAGATCAAGGAAAAGGTACCCTGTCTACTTTCTATATCGTGATTTGACAACATATGATTTGCCGTAGGCTCAGACCTGTTCTCATGGTTGACAATTTAATACTTTCTAGAACATTTTCTTGTAAATAGTAGCATGAATGGCCAAATAATTGAATTAAGTAAGGATGAAAACTGAAGTATGAAAGTGCTTATTTACTACTACCCTTTTTGGGTGTGTCTAATCTGCTCATACATTTCGTAATTTTGTGATCTTGTCTCTGTGCATGCAATTTACTACTACCCTTTTAAAAAGAAAATGCATATTCATTCAAAATTTATGTACAAGTTCTCAAATTTTTTGATGGATGTAGTGAGATTTCGTGTTACTTCAAATGTTTGCCTTTCAATCTTTAAGAAATTTGGTTGACGGATTCTTGTAATTTAATATGTAGCGATTGAATTACTGCAAACTGCATCATGCATATCCATTTCTTGGATTCAATATTTCGTCAGAGCTTCTTATAAGAATTCTGCACTGTTGATGCTCTCTTTGATTGATTTTGTTGGTTTATTAGAATAGTTAGGTAAGGATGATTATGAAATTGTGAGCATAAACAAAAACTCATGTTTGGTAAGGAAATATGTCTTTCAGTTTTACTGATCTGAAGGGGGAAAAAATCTTCTAGTCCAGAAAGAGCTCCCTAGTAGCTTGCCCTTGCTGCTTTATATTCATGTTGACTACAGTCTTGAACTCTTTCATATGCTCGACGATCTTTTATGTATTTATCATTCTTGCCATTATGGTAAAAATATGAGTTGATCTCTAGGATCATTATGTGCTGTCTTGGTGAGCTGCTTTAAGCTTATTAGTAGATCTAGATTCTATTCTAAACATTAATTTTCTGTGCATCTCCATTATGCTGCACAAAGCATATAGTTGCAATAGTGAATTGGATCGTGCAAAACAGTTAGATTATTAAGAGCCAGCTGTTTATTTTTCACAAAGCTCGTGAGCTATCTTTCACTACAGTACCGTTTTCCCATGAGTATAGCCAACTTCTACTTCTCTGATTGTATAAAAATTCCCTTTTCAAGTCTCTTTGAAAGGCTTATTTTAAAAATAAGCTGCTTCTATAGAGGAAATGCTGTGTTTTTGCTACTGTCTCTGGCATTGGGCTCAATATCATTGCCGTGCTTCTTCCACCAGAGGAATTGTTATGCCACCGAGTCGATTATTTGAAATCTGGATTTTATACAACACTAAACGAAGTCACACAAGTAATTATATGTCCTGTACTCACTGGCTTAGCATGTAATGTTTCCTTTTAGACAAGTTTCGAGGTCTCCTCCTCATAGCAAGTACTCTAAGCGCAGGCATTCTCCCTACTCTTCTCTTGAGACAAGCAGGTAACTCTTTAGTTTCTTGGGTTCAATTTCTGTGATTTTCTTTTTGAGACTCTTGTCGATCCACCATGTCACTATCCACTTCAGGTTAAAAGTATTTATGGGTGTGTTTGTTTGTGGGTTTTAGTTTTTGGGTTCTTTTAATAGTAAAATATTGAATTTGAATAGTTGTTTGATGTGATATAAATAGAGGTTGATGTGATGTTTTGAATGTAAAATAAATTTGTAGTATAATATAAAATAAAAAGCAAAGTAATTGATTTGATATTTTTGGAGAGAAAAAAGAGTCTATAGTAAAAACCTGCGGTAAAATTCATAAAAGAACACAACCTATGTGTTCCTAGTTGTATTTATGTCCTGTTTCATTAGTATGAAGAAGATGCTCAAATCAATTTACAGGGGAGGAAAAAAATCTGGATCAAGATCAAGGTCAAGGTCAAGATCACCTGCACGCCGTCGCCGATAGCTGGAATGAATACCTTGACAGCAATTGGAATTGGGATCAGCCGTCGGATTTGTGTGGGACACTTTGGTTACAACTGCAGAAACTCCTGATCCATGAGAAGCCTGGTGGATTGCTCTGGTTTGGAACATATGGGATGTCTTAAATTTACAATATGTAAAGTTGAATCGAATCACCCTCCCGTTAACAAAGGTATTGTAGTTTACTTTTGTTGGTTCTGCTTTTGAAATTCTTACCTTCTATACTGCAATTTTGGCCCCAAGTGAATTGGAATGTTTCTTACTAATCCTGCCCCTCATGATTATCAACTTTTTTCATGGTTATGTGTTATCTATATATTAGGGGGATTTGCTCATGCACTAAGTATTTAGCATTGTGTGATATATATACACAATATGTACTGCCAAGTTCTGTTTTGATAATTTTTCCTACATTTATTGTATGTTGTGCTCTAATGTACTCTCTTTCATCTGGTAAATTTATATAACTTTGCTCAAGACACCAATACTAAAAAGTAATACTCCATCCTTTCGATTTCAAATGGGCTCTTTGAGATTTTGTAGTAGATTAAAAAATAATAGTATTTTATTTATTAGTGGAAGTGCTTTGATATTTTTGTAATGAAGTAATCGTATGTGTAATGGTATATTTGTAATTTAAGTAAAAGTTAAGGGTATTTTGGTATTAATATATAGTTATTTTTACTAAAATAGGAAAGATTTGGGAGTGTGACATAAAAATGGTAAAAATAATATTTTGAGTTGGATAGGAGTGAGTAATATTTTAATGTTAAAAGTAGAGCAGGTGAAAAGTAAATAAAAGTATTATGAAAATTTTATTAGAGGATTGATAAAAATGGGATGGTTAAGCGGAAAAAATAGTAACAAATTAGATAGTATTTGTTAAAATATGGATAATAAAAATATGAATAGATAAAATTGTTTACCTTAGTAAATCAGGGTTAACATTTTCTATCATCTTGCAATGACTAATAATCTCATAATATCGCTTGGAACATCACAACTTGAATTAATGGGAGAAAAAATCTGGTTTTTCTGATCTTGTTTTATTTTTCATTATTGGATTTGATGTTTTTTTTTAATGTAAAAATAATTGTTTGGGGTAATGCTCTTTACAAAAATTGAACAAATTATTGGGAGCAACTGACATTGGGTCTTGGTTGTCATTGATTTGTGTGATTTGTTTATCGGATCTAGTTTGGAGACTATTATGTAGGTTCGATTGGAATCACATCCGATACATAGTGGTGGAAGGTTTTCACATCATAAAAAATAAAAATAAAAAAATAAAAAATAAAAAATGTATAAGATAATATATTTCAGTCCATTGTTTTGAATTATTTCAAGACTAACAATAAAAATAGTCATCATCGATAGGCCTTGAACTTGACTATTGAATAAAAGTGTTTTTATAGGATTTCACCAAAATTTTATTTTTTATTAATTTTTTTAAAAAAATATAAAATCAAATATTTATTTTTATTTTTTATATTATTCAAAATATCATATCAATATTATTTATATTGAATTTAAAATTTTTACTATTCAAATTTAAAATCCAAACCTTTAAACATATGTTTACAAGGAACAAGAAGATTCTATTGTAAAAAATCAAAAATAAAATAAAATAGAACTTGTGTTAGGAGAGTTATTACGAAGAGATATTGGAATATTTATTCGCAAGCTTTTTTATTTTAATTATTATTTTTCTTGTCTGTTGACAAACAAAGAGTGGATATTTAATGACAACACCACCTACTACTCGAATCCTCCTAAACACCCTTTCCTTTTCGGCAGCAAAAAGCCAAAAACAAACTCATGAATTTCATTCATTGTGAAGCATGAATTGATGATACCCAAACAAACCCTTTTGGCTTTTGTATAAAAAGAAAAGAGTGAGAAAGAGAGTCTAGTAGTAAAATCTTGTGATTCTTCGATCCCATCACATATCCCATGTTCTTGGCAGCCGAAAATTAGGCCAATTTCTAAGCCTACACTCAAGATGGTTTCTTTTTTAAAATTAAATAAATAAATAAAAATTGAAACATAGGTTGGCTCCAAAACACCCATCAAGACAAGAACCCCAATTAACCTGCCTTAAAGATCCATCCGTTACACATTTGATTTGATTTGATTTGCCAAGATGGAATCTCTCTACTCATTCTTCTTCTCCAATCTCTACAACCAGAGGGTAAGAAAAGATCCCAGATGCTCAAAAAATGTTTATTTTCTAAGTTTTCTTGGGTTTTTGCAGGTTCTGCAGAAAGGGCTATGTCTCGTTTGGATATATGGGGTTTTCTTGATTGGGGTCTCATTTTATGTCATTCAAATGGTACCCATTTCGCTTAGAGATTTTAGTGTAAGAAGAGGTGATGTTAATGTTCTTGGTGATTCGAATGTTCCCAAGATCACTATTTTTACAGCCCCAAAGCCCTTTATTGGCTCGATTGGTGATAGGCAAGTTCTTGCTGTAAGATCATGGCTTGAGCTGTCTGAAAATTTAACTGTGATTCTTTTCAGCCAAGACCCTTCTGTCATCTCCTTTGCTCATTCATTTGGCTCCAGAGTTTCAGTCATGGCCGATGTTGACTTCACGTGAGTCTTCTCTAAAGCTACATTTCTTGAAATTATTGAATGGATGAGTTTCTTTTGCATTCTAGATTATTTATGAATGATTGGAGTGCAATCGAAATTGAAATCGAAATCGAAAATTTGGGCTTATGTTCTTCATGAATTGGTTCTGTGTATTGGATGATTCCTTTTGGCATTCTAGATTTTTAATGAATGATTGAAGTGCAATTGAAATCGAAATCGAAAAATTGGGCTTATGTTCTTCATGAATTGGTGCTGTGGATTGGATGAATCCTTTTTGCATTCTAGATTACTAATAAATGATTGCAGTGAAATCAAAATCGAAATTGAAATCCAAAACTATGGAAATTGGGCTTATGTTCTTGATGAATCCTTTTTGCATTCTAGATTATTAATGAATTATTGAAGTGAAATCAAAATCGAAATTGAAATCGAAAACTATGGAAATTTGGCTTAGGTTCTTCATGAATTGGTGCATTGTATTAGTGTAGATTGCTAAACTTTACTTTCTTGGATGCTGATTTAATGTTAGGTTTCTCGGTACGCCGTATCTCCATTCAATCATTGCAAGATCGATGGCATTGCCGTCGGATATATCCGTGTTGATCGATCCTGACATCGTTCTCTTGCCGAATTTTGTGTCTACTTTGAACTATGCTCACAAGCTTGATGAAGATTGGCTTCTCGTTGCTTTGTCGAAAAATGTCGGAGCGAAGAAGGTACGATTCAGAAGGCGCCCCTGTTCGTTTGCGACTCGAGAGATCGATCTTATGTTAAAATTATCATCTTGTGGATCGGCTGCAGGAGTTCGTCGTAGCTGAGAAACGTGCTCGGAATCGGTGCGATGATCGAATGATTATCGCGTGGAACAGTGGAGATTTGCCTCTTCACAAGGGTGTTCTTCCTCCTTTCTTGTATGGCGAGGGGATTCACAACCGTTGGATCGTTTCCGAGGCTTTGATCTCCGATTTCAGGCTCGTTATCGACGCGACGTCGATGGTTTCCAGTTTCTTTCTCGACGACGCGGAGATTGTCGAAGAAGACAAAACTTGGGAAGGAGTTGGAAATGCACTTCTTGGACGGGTTTACGGGTCGTTGTCGTTCGGTAAAACGAACTTCTCGAATCTGTTCCGATTCCTCGACTGCAACGGCAACTTTGTCTTCGTCAACACGGAGCAAAACATCGTGTACCCGCTCGGGTACGGGAGGCGAATGAATTTACGAAACAAGAGAATACTCGAATGCGTCAATGCGATCGTTTCGTTCGATTCCATCGAACGATGCTTGTCGAACAGGAACGTGACATTCCCGACGTCAGTTTCGCTTCCTCTATCCCTCGAAACGCTGCTGTCGATGCGCGGTGATCGGAACAAGAGCGTCGTTCTCGGAGTCGCCGGGTACAGCTACAAGGACTTGCTGATGAGCTGGGTTTGTAGGCTTCGTCGTCTCGGAGTATTGAACTTTTTGGTCTGCGCTCTCGACGATGACGTCTACGACTTTTCTGTGTTACAGGTGACTCGATTCGCCGTATTTTATCGCTGTTAGGAATCGCACAAACGATCTTTTCTAACGTTTGTTCTTTTAGGGCTTGCCGGTGATCAAGTGCACGAATTCTCCGGCGAACATCAGCTTCGACGGCTGCCATTTTGGGACCGATTGTTTTCAGAAAGTAACGAAAGTGAAGTCGAGGATGGTCCTCCGAATACTGAAACTCGGATACAACGTACTCTTGAGCGACGTCGACGTGTACTGGTTCAAGAATCCGTTGCCGTATCTGAGTTCCTTTGGCCCGGGGGTTCTCGTCGCGCAATCTGACGAATACAACGCGACAGGTACTGAACTGGGATGTCGAAATTATTAAATTCATACGACGAAAAGATTCGTAATCAATTTTCGATGCCTCGCAGAGCCACCAAACTTACCGCGACGACTCAACTCCGGGTTCTACTTCGCACGTTCGGACAGGACAACGATCGCGGCAATGAAGAGGGTAGTGGGTCATGCGGCAAAGTCGAATCTCTCCGAGCAGCCGAGTTTTTACGACACGTTGTGCGGCAACGGTGGGGCGTATCGATTAGGCGACGATCGGTGCTTGGAGCCTTCGACGAATCTGACGGTTCAATTCTTGGACCGGGATCTCTTCCCGAACGGCGCGTACCAAGGGCTGTGGGAGGGAAACGACACCCGTAAAACGTGTTGGAGGATGGGGTGCTTCGTGCTCCATAACAATTGGATCAACGGGCGGAAGAAGAAGCTCGAACGGCAGATGTCGACGGGGCTTTGGGAGTACGACGTTAACGGCAGGATGTGCTTGCAACGCTGGCACGGGATCGACACGGCGGGTTACTTCTGAAATTGAGGCGTAAACGTCGAAATGCTCGACGAATTTAAAATTGGATGTCAGAGATGATAGATGTGGAATCGATCTCTTCTGATGCCAGGCTGGGACTGAGAGGAGCTGTTCGTCAGAAATGTCGCGCCGAGAATGTGGAAGAGACGATACAGGTCCCTTCCGGCCATGGCTGAGGTCTCTCCGGTGAATACAACACGGCCGTGTCTTGTTTTTCTTTTTTGTAGGTTTTTGATCGGCACGGCCGTGTCTTGTTTTTCGATGCTGAAATATGTATACTATATAGTCTATAGACTATAGGCTTTGTCCAATCCTATCCAGAATTAGAACCAATTAAAAAAATGCAATCTTGATCATTAAATGGGCTTTTTCCTTACTTAATATCTTAAAACTAGGCCCAGACTAATTCACTTAAAAATTTAATAATTTAATATAAAAGATTATTTTTTATATTATATATATTTCTATATATCTAGCATAAAAAAAAAACACTTTAAATTCAAAATACAAATCATATACACCCATTACTTTCCACTTGAACAAATGTATATTTATTTGAATTAGACACATGATTTTTAATAAATATAGTATTTTGAAAAGTATACAAAAGAATTGATGAAGTGAGTGAAAAATTTAGATAAATTGAATGTGTAAATATATGTGATATATTTGTAAATAAATACTTGTGATATACTTGTAAATAAATACTTTTTCCATGCGCATCTACGGGTCACAATTACATTTTGTATTATTATATTTAACATTAAAAATATTTTTGTTTGTATGTATATATTTTTTTTTTCTATAAATGTCATTCTATTAGTATTATAAGAGACTAATATAAGTATTTTTGTAATTTTTTCTTAACTTGTATTACGTTTTGATATAATAAATAATATTCAAAGATAAATACGAAAAAAATAAATGAGACTTTAGATCAGGACGGAAATACTATAATAACTATTAAATAATATACATAAAATGTGTAAAAATTATTTCTATTATAAATATATATATTATTGGATTACATTCTATAATTACTATTTTTAGAAAAAAGGACACGAAGAAAATTTTTTAGAGTTTGTTTTGTGTTTTACATTGCATTTTATAGTAAAATATTTTTCTTTTTTTAATTTTAAATGTAAAAATCCAATAAATTTATACTTCCTTTGTTTCAATTCAATATGGCATTTTGAAGTTTTCTAGTAAATTAATACTAGATAATAGTATTTTATTAGTTAACATTTTTTACATTTTTGGCGTTTTATATATAAAGTAATTGTATATGTAATGATATATTTTCAATTTAAATAAAAAGTTAAGAGTATTTTGATATTAATTTTTAATTATTTTTTTTAAATTGAAAATGAATACTTTGAAGTAGGACAAACGAAAATGATAAAAAAAAAAAAAAAATACTTGAACCGGGTATTTATTCGGTACTCCCTCCGTCCCATATCTATATATCTATTTATTTTTTGCACGGAATTTTAAAAATATCAGTATTATATTGGAATAAAGTAGAAATAAATATAAAAAAGACTAAATTAACCCTATTAGTATTGTATGATATAAAGGTAATGACATTTATAATATATTGTAAATTGGAATGATATTTGTAATACTAGGCAGATAGTACAATTACTAAAAAGGAAAATAAAAACTTTGTTATGAGACGGACGAAAATAAAAAAATGCTCACAGAATTTTAAACTCTCATATTTAAATATCAAGTAAGTGTGGCAAATAACAAATAGAATTAATTCGAATTATATCTGAACTTTGTACCTTGTCTATCTTCTTACTCCATTATTCTTATTCATGTACTGTCATTTTTTATTTAATAAATTTTATTTTTTAATTTTTTATTTTTTTAGTGTACCCTTAAATAGAGTATTCGAAAGTATTTTGGGGATCAATTTTTGTGGCCTTATATTGTCAGCCTCCACAGCACCAAAGATACCAAAACATTGTGTTCGGTAAACTCCATTTTCCATTTAAAATATATTTGATTCCATTAATTATATATATTAATATATTTTTGTGGTCTCAATTTCTTGGTATGTTCTTCAAGTAATAAATTACTATATTTAGCAACAAATTGTATGAATTTGTCAATCGAATGTATTGCAATTAATAAATATATAATTAAAATATAAATTTATGACCTTATTGAATTTTGTCAAGACTTAACACCTACTTTATTTAAAAAATCATACCTATGTCATATTTTAATTACTTTATTTTTAATATAGAAATACTATCTGTGTTTGTTTTATGAAATAATTTAAAAGAATATATTTTTTTTAATATGAAATATAAGAAATTATGTAAATAGTATAAAAATAATAAATATTTTTAATATTTGTAATATATTAATATATATTTTTTGAAATAGGTAGAGAATTTTTCACTAAAAAAAACACATCAATAATATTTATTTTATGTTATTTTATTTGATTTTCTAAGCTTATGGCGACATACTGACAATCCATGTTTGGAGATCACAACATAGGATTCAGCTCAAATGAGCAAAGCATGTGGCCACCAAATTTTTTGAGATTAATTTGGATTTTAGTTTAGGATTTGATTAGTAAATTTTTTGAATTAGAATAGTTATATTTATATATATATATATATGATATAAATAGATATTGATGTGATTTTTAATAAATAAATTTTAAAAGTTAGCATAAAATATGAAAAAAAAAAAATATTTGATTTGATATTTTAGAGGAGAAAATTTTTATAAATGGTATAATTTGGTAAAAGTTGATTAAAAAAAAAAAAAAAAAAACCTAAATTAATGCTTTGAATCCTGAATTTTGTTGAAGTTATGCCTCTGTATTTGTCTGTTACGTTTCTCCATAGTCGTATTTCTGACTGCATTGACACTTGAGAGTTCCATTTTTTCGAGTCTAGTGAGAGTCTTATTATTTCTAACTTCAGTGAGAGTTCCGTTGTTTCTAACTTTGTTGACAGTTTTGTTGTTTTCAACTCTATTAGTAAAGTTACTAATTTTTTTTCTATTTATACAAATGTCATTGATGAACCTCATATATATTTCTTACACTAATTCTATTTTAATCCAAAAGTAACCTTATAAAATTTTAATTCTACCATTAAAAAAATAAAAATATAAATAATATTAAAGTACTATTTTTTAATCTCCATATCCAAATAATTTTGAGCATTATTTTATAAGAGGAAGTGCGTAAGAACTAGTCCTACCGTTAAATTTTTTACATGCGACTTGCCAGTCGACACGTGTCATCCGTGAACCAAATTTCACGCTTTCTTGAAATCGCTATTGTGAATTTAGCGACAATGATTCAACAAACTAATAATAGCATTGGTGTGTCATGTAAGGAATGGATCAAAATCAGGTGGTTTGATGTATGAATTTGGACATTGTAGAATGAACGTGAGAACATGCATGGTTCTCCCTTTATATGGCAACTTCATACATACCTACATACATCATTATTATTATTATTATTATTATTTATTTTATATTTTATATTTTTCAGAATAAGGATAAGAAGATAATAAAGGGGCGTTGGACAGCACCAAACAGAAATCGAAATGAACCAAATGTCGTGGGGTCCACAATGGGACCCACTTACCCAAACATGCATGTTCCAGTGGGTCCCACGATCACAACCTCTGAGATTAATATGTATATAAATAATTCTTAATTTGATGGTTGGATATATATATATATATATATAAATATTTTAATTAATTATTTTACTATTATTTAAGTATATTATTATTATTAAAAATTATTTTATGCACAATAGATTCCCATTCCGTATAATTTAATGAATATTATTACAGAAGTCATCATCACATGACAGACAGAAATAAGTTTAGTGTACTTATTAATTATTATAAATATTATTAAATATTTTAATGTCTCTTTTGTTATTGTTTATTATTTTAAAATTTTCATCAAATTCGAATATTCTTTCCTTCATTATTTTTGTTTTTTCACTAATAAATAAAAGAAACAGTAGTTGTCATATACATTACGTACAACTCTCTAGTATTTTCTACTAACAAAAATAATAAATACTATATATATAAATTGAAGCTAATTTCCAATTATGCCCTCGACAGTTGTGCCGGTGTGACCCGGCCGGGCCAACAGCTCAACACAGTGTCAGTCAAACAAATTAAGTCCAGGACCACTGGGACGGCGACTGAAAATTACTCGAATTTATTTTGACAAATAATTTGTCAAATTGAAATGGATTAATATAATAATAATAATAATAATTTCAATTTGAGAAATGATGTCCCACTCAGATAATTTAATTTTAATTTTAATTTTAATTATGATATAAAGTTAGGGTCCACCAACGTAGCCGTGAGGGAATCAAACTGGGACCTGTGGTCCCGGCACCTCACTTTTTACCACCCTTGAAGCAAATTTCTCTCTCTATAAATAACCGCTCATTCGTAACTTCCTTTAGGCTTGGGGACGCAGCAGCCATTGCAGAGCTTCTTCCAGCTTCTTCTTCTTCTTCTAGATTGAATCTGGAAGTTTCTGCAGTTTACAGAAAGCGATCGATTATACTCGTTTAGGTGCGGGAGAGACCAAATATGGTTGGATCTGTACTCAGAACTGACAGTCGCAATATCAAGTTCTGCTGTAGCTACGGCGGTCGGATTATTCCACGTTTCCCCGACGGAGAGCTCCGGTACCACGGCGGAGTGACGCGTGTCCTTTCCGTCAATTATTCCGTTTCCTTTTCCGGTGAGGCGTTTTTTGAGTGAAAGGATTTTTTTGTTTGTATCTGTTGGTTTTGAAACGGTTTTTGATTCAGTTTTCGTTTGTTTGTTTGTTTTTTAATAGATTTGTTGGTGAAGATGGAGGAACTGTGTGGATCTCCGGTGAGTCTAATTAGGTGCAAATTGCCGACGGAGGATTTGGACGCGTTAGTGTCCATAACTTCCGACGAGGATCTCGCGAATCTAATCGAGGAATACGACTACGCCTCCGCGGCGGAGGAACCGCCGAAGTCTCTGAAGATTCGAGCGTTCCTTTCAGTTACCAAAAGCCTGAGTAAGAAATTGTCTTCGCCTTCCTCCTCTTCTTCATCTTCCTCTTGCAGTAGCGACGGTTCGCCGCCGAAGTCGTCGTTCTACTACTGCGGCGGCGGTTTGCCGCCGAGGTATCCGAGCTCGACCGGCGGCCGATGCGTTCGGAAGGCGTCCTTTCCTGCGGCGTACCCCGTTGTTGTGGGAAGATCTGGCGGAGAAATCCCTAAACGATACGTATATTCTCAGTATCTGAAGGGCAGCCATGGATATGGCGGCGAAGTTTTTATTGGCCACAGTAGCTAACAGAAATGTAATTTCTGGCAATAGCAAAATATTGAGGAAACAGAACCAATTAATTATATTATAAAAGGAGAAAAAATTTAAAAAATTATATATATATATATGTAATAAATATTTTATATAATGATATATGTATATGTGTTAAATTTTGATGTACAGCTGAGATGATAGAAAATGGCTCAATTTCACAGAATATCATGTAATAGGTTAAGAAGGCCCCATTTTTGTTGGTCTTTTGAAATGGAGATTCACAAAATTTTTAGCATTATTATTATTATTATTATTATTATTTACTTTGATATATATATATATATATATTAATAGACCGGCTCGCACTCACAGAGGACCGGGGCGAAAATTTCTTAAAAGTATATAATATTTTCTTCGTCCAGTTACAAAGTATACATATTTTTATATTTTGGGATGTTCAATTACAAAATAATTATTTTATTAAATACCCCATTTTTTTTCACAAATACATTTAGGGTGTGTTTGTTTGGAGTTTGGATTTTGAGTTGGGATTTGAATAGTAAAAATTTTGAATTTGAATAGTTATATAATGTGATATAAATAGGTTTGATGTGATGTTTTGAATGTAAAATTGATTTTTAGTATAATATAAAAAAATAAAAAATAGGTGTTTGATTTGATGTTTTTTGGGGGAAAAAATAGGATGAATAGTAGAAGTCCACCAAAATCCTTCAAACAAACACACCCTTACTTTACATTACATCATACAAAAATATCATTATACTATTTTTACCAAAAAGTAAGGGCAAAAAGTAAGGGAGTATGTAATATGTATATTATATTTAAAGTAAATATTAAAAACAAAATTAAATTCTAAAAAAATATATTCTCTATCAATTAAATTTTTGTTACTTTTTAATTTATGTTAAATTTATGATCAATTTATAATAAGTAATTTTATTTATTTTATTAAATATATTCTAATAAATAATAATAATCAATGTATTACTATTTTTTTTCACCTCATCATATTTTTATTAATGTTTTAATAAAATTTTTATAATATTATTCTTTTCCTCCCACTTGCTATGTCTATGTTTTTATTTCTGTCTATTTCACTTATTCTGTCGCTTTCATTTTTTTAAAAAAAAATTATACACTTTAATCACATATTCAATTTTTTTATTTATAATTTTTTAAATTTTAATTAGACTAATTGATTATATTAATTTTAATTTATAATTATTTTTATTATATGATAATTACTTTTACTAATATATTTTTAATTATTTATTAATTATACCTCTAATAAATTTTTATGCCTACAGTAAAAGGACACGATAGTCAAGCCGGAGAAAGTATTTTATTTTACTTTTTCTAATTTATTTTAATATTAAAATATTATTATTTATTAATCCCGTTCCGATGCATCCAAACTTATAGTATAAAATTTTTAGATGAATAGAGTAAAATCGACATATAGTCCATTTTCCCCTTTTGTTTACTTTTCTTTCATCATATTTTCTGAAAATATATCTTTGGAATTGTTTTTTCTTTTTTAAGATTTTTAGGAATTATATGCTCAAATTTTTTTTTCTCTCACACAAACATTATACTTCACATTAATTTTTTGAATAATTATTCACTTTGTATTTTTTAACAGTACAATTCCTAATAAATATTATTAAAAGTATGCTTCTTCCGTCCTTCGTTGCATATTCGAATTACTGTAGATACAAAAATTTAAGATAAGTATAATTAGGGTGTATTTGTTTGGGGGATTGGATTTAATTTCTATTATTCATCTTATTTTTTCCCTCCAAAAACATCAAATCAAACATCTATTTTTCATTTTTTATATTATACTAAAAATCAATTTTACATTTAAAACATCACATCAACACCTATTTATATCACATCATACAATTATTCAAATTCAAAATTTTTACTATTCAAATCTTAATTCAAAATTCAAACCCCCAAACAAACACACCCTTAGTACATAATTAAAAATATATTAATATAAATAATTATCCTATAATATAAATAATTATAGATTAAGATTAACCTAACTAATTATTTTAATTAAAATTAAAAAAATTAAAATTTAAAAATTTAAAATGACATTAAGGTGTGTAATTATTTCCAAAAAAAAATGACATGAGATGTGTAGCAGATAGAAATAGTAATATGAACATGGTAGGTGTGACAGATGGAGTAATATACTCATATTAATAAAATATATAATACATATACTTTATCTATTCACAAAATATCAATAATTCAATATTAAATATTATTTCTTATATTATCAAAAAAAAAAAATCATATTTAATATAAAAAAAATATATTCATCTAAAAATAAAAAGTAAACTCATCAAATGTTTTATAGTAATTAAATCAAATCTTATTTTTTTAAAAAATAAAATAGAATATTTTGTAACTGTGAACTGTTAGAACTCAAATCCATATCTAATTTTAATTGTTCAATTAGTAAAAAACAAAGATTTAGGCAAATATAAATCTACTACATGCACATAGGGCTGGCAAAAATTAACCCGATCTGATAATCCGACTCGAACATAACATGAAATAGTTGGATTTGGGTTAAGATTTTTGACTCAATTAATAATTGTGTCAAACTCGTTTAACTCATTTAATTAAATGGGTCAGGTTAAGGTCTACATTTTCGACCTGAAAATAACTCGTCTAATATGTTTAATTAATATTATTTTAAATTTAAATATATTTTTTAAATTTTATCAATACAATTCAATATTTATGACCAATTTTATAAAAATAAACAATAAAAAATAAATGATTGTGTTGTGTATTATTATGCAGTGTTTGTTAATTCAATTCTTGAATATCGATTTCATGATATGAATAAATAATTTTTTGCTTTAATATGTATATATATTATGCATTTAAAAATTTTGTTAATATAAATTGTAATTTTAAATTAAAATTTAAATATTTTAGATTTAAACGAGTTATATGAGTCAGATTCAGGTTGACCCGATTAATAAAAAAATCATGTTAAGATTGCAAATATCAACTCATTTAATTAAATAGGTCAAGTTCAGATAAAAAATTTTATCGTTGACCCGAATCTAAATCCGACCCGACCCGACCCGACCCGACCCGACACAATCCGTTTGCCAGCGCTACATGCACACAAGCCAACAAAGCCTATCATCTTATATTCAAAATTAGGCTTTCGTACAGTAGGAACATGTTACTACAATTGGAAGACTGAAATGAATAAAGACCAGCCCAAGGAAGCAGTCTGGCCCAAAGAAAGTGTATATGGGTCCTACTATTTTATTATTTTTTAAAAGTATTTATTTTTAAATAAAAAAAAAATCAAGACTTTCAATTTAAAATCAATTGCTATAGAAGGGAAAAAGGTTCATTCTTATAAGCTAAGAGAATTTTCACATCTTTTCCTATGTAGGGATATATTCAACATTCCCCTGTTGAGATCATAATTTCAAAAATTCAAACAAGATCAATATCCAATATGGGACAGTATGACTCTGATACCATGGTAAATGAAATAAATGATCGTCTCAATTAAAAGTTTAAGCGATTAGGAATACACAAAGTTCGAATCCCTTCTAATATGGTATCAGAGCCTTAAGTCTCAAGTTCGTGTCCCACCGTCCATCGTTTGTCGTTGTTCACGTACAAATTTTGTTTGGTGATATTTATTCCCTTGCACGTGAGAGCAGTGGCGGAACCAAAACTGAAATAAAGAGGGGGCTAATTTTTATTTTTTTTGAAAATTCGATATACCGAAAAATCGGTATGATAAATGTATATCTTGATACCATACCGAAATTATATACCATTTCATACTCAAATACTAAAGTTTGAAATATTAATTTTGGTATCAATATATTAAATTATTTATGTATACAAATATACTGAAAATATCAAATTATATATTATTATCGTACTAAAAAAGTTTAATACTCCATCTGTCCTAATATAATAGTCTTGTTTACCATTTTTGTCTGTCTCAAAACAATAGTTTCATTTTCATAAATACTCGTATCATCATAAAATTATCCCTACCTTCTTATTATTATTACACAAATGCCACTAATTTTTACATTAATACACTCACAAGAGCAAATAAGTCATTTACTCATACTTTTTACCAAATATGAATATAATATCAATATTCCTTAAATCTCATGCCCAACTCAATTAAGACATAGTTTTTGAACAGATGAAGTATTATATTAGATCACACCAAAAAAATTTGGTATAAAAAAAAATTATATATAAAATTTTTAATTTTTTTAAAGTATATATAACTTTAAAATTATACAAATTATAATAAAAAAAATAAGGAGTGGGTCCCCCCTTGCCTCCATGTAGTTACGCCGGTGCGTGAGGGAGTGTGATGGTTGTTTGTTGATAAATAAATAAATGATGTGTATCCTTTATAGTTTAAACTTTTAGGTGAGACAATCGTATATTTTATCTAATAATTATTTTCAACACAAAAATATCAAAGTAAAATAATAAAATAAAATAAGACTAGAATGAAAATCCTCTAAATATATTGTGTGTGATGGAGGATGAATCTATACATATTTTGATCAAAGTAGTCAATCAATCTTGATATTATCAATTTGTCTCAATCGAACACTATTTTTTGTCTTCCTCGACTCATTAAATTCAAAATGCATGCATGTATCCACAATCAAAGAGATAAATTTGTCAAATATTTGTAGATAAAATGATGAGATATTCTTTAATTGGAGGCTTTTTTTTTTTTTTTTTTTTACCCGAAAATGCGAAAAGTTACACTAGGCGTACCATGTATGACATGTGATCTGAGGCATCGAGGATTTGAACCTATGACCTCACGATTATGAGTCCAATCCCTAAACCATCAGACCATCCCTTATGGGACAAATGGAGGCAAAATTTCATAAGAGTGCATGTTGTGTAAGTGTGTGTGGATAATAAATAAATAAATAAATTGATAAATTCATTTATATACAACATTAAAATTATTTCAATATGGGCCCATAATGTATTCCCCACCACCTTTACTAGATTAAACAAATATTAAATACAAAGGGTGCCTTTGCAAATACTTTTCTTTTTTTTTTTCTAAATAAAAACAAATATTTATTTATCTATTTATTTTTGGTTATATACATTATTTTTTAGTATATATATACATATTGAAAAGTATGTCATCATATATATCAATAGTACTTCATCTATCCGTTATGACATATATCAATAGTACTTCATCTCTCCATTTTGAAAGGTGTATTTTGGACTTTTGTATTAAATTAAAAAATAATATTATCTTTGTTTCACTTAATTTGTCTTTTTTTTTGGAAATATAATTATACATTTCAATCATATTTTAAAATTCATAATTTATAATTTATTTTTTATTTTAAGTAAACTATTTAATCATCTTAATTTTAATCTATAATTATTATTAAATTATAATTATTTTTACTATTATACTTCTTAATTACTTACTAATTATCCAATACCTAAAACACTGTGTCTAAGCAAAAGTGAACAATTTAAGTGGGACGGAGGGAATAGTATTTTTATTGGTTAGTGGAATTATGTAAGAAATTTTAACATTTTGGCCTTTGACTTTTTATATAAAATAATTGTATGTGTTGTGAATTTATTTCCAAATTTATTGGATTTATCAAAATTCTCAACATGTGTAATAATATGTTCGTAATTTAAATAAAAATTAAGAATATTTTGTTATTAATGTATTATTATTTTTACTTTAAAAAAATATACTTTTGAATTAAGCAGACAAAAATAATAAAAAATATATATATTTAAATTAAAATGGAATGAGTATGATTTTATTAAAACAAAGCCACTATTTGTTGTGTAATCAGTAAATCCAATTGACAACAAGTGGACAATTTGGCCATTTGGGATTATAAATATCCAAGTTCTATATGATTTATTATTAATGTAGGTTTTCAACTTATCTCAATATTATTTATTAATATGATTTAATATTAAATTAATTAATTTTTAATAAAATTATTATATTAAAAATCTTTTTTTATATATAAAATATCAGATTTATAATGTATTTATATTATGTTCAATATCTATTTTTTATTTAGCATTTTATTATTTTTTAAAAAAAAATTTAAAATATCTTCGAGATATTTAACCATAATCCTATTTATTTTTGGAACTCTCTCTAAAAAAATTAAAATTTTGGCATTGAAGTTGATGACAGGAAATCATCTCCATCTCTTAAATATAGGTAATTATATGACTTAGTGATGTTTCTTGGATAGATATAAATTAATGTAATTTGTTTGAAATTTTAGAAATAAAATAAAATAATAATATATATATATATATATATATTGAGAAAGGTCAAGAAGTGCCCCCACCTTATCTCAATATTGCCTGTTCTTGTCTGCTTCATCACATCCAAACAATATATGAAAACCAATCATTATCCAGTTTTATGTTTTTCTTAAGACATCTGCATGGATAAGTAACTTTAATTTTCTCAAATAATAATAATAATAATAATAATATATGGACCATTGCTTGTAAGAAATTTGTTCTCAGGATGGGCCCGGCCCATTATTGCAGTTGACAGAAATAATGGGTTTTAGGCCCATCCTAGATTCATGACATCATATATACAAACACTTATAAGCTTTGTTTACATATTTTCTGAAAATTTTTACATTATAGAAATTTATATTTAAAAAAAAAAAAGAGCACATCATTTTTTTTTTATTTTATAAATATTATATCAAACATTCTATTTTATTTTTATTTTTTATTTTAGAATTTTTAAAAAATTTATCTCTACCTAGCCTCAAAATTTTATAAATTAAAATTTCAATTCTTATTTCGTCCGACAAATTTAATTTTCACTATTTTGGTTAATAACATATTATTGATTTTGACAAAATTAAATTTTAAACTACTTTTTCACTTGCATCACTTTTTAATAAAATTTTAAAATTTTCCTGTCAAATTCAAAGGGACTACTTCTACTCATGAATGAATGAAGTTTTTTTTAAGAACTAAAAAATTATCAATTAAAATGAAGCCTAGGTAATAGAGTTTGAACATTGAATCCATCTAACAACTAAATTAATTCAGACTAGACTATTACAACTTACAAGTTGGTCTACGCTGAATCTGTCATCACCCCACCCCCACCCCACCCCACCCCACCAAGAATTAAACTCAAAAATCATAACTGCGTTTCCCATAGATAATCAGATCGAACTTATCTGTAAGCCCCCTCCCAAAATGGAAGAACAAGAAATCGGCAAGGAGATGATTACCGGCGCCAGCGCCGGCGGATATGATTACGGCGACGACGTCGTTTTGGATGAGGAGGTTGTAAGGATTTTAACAGAAGCCCAGAATAGTAATAAAGAAAGGGTTATTGAAAGAATTGACCTTTCTGGGCGCCGCCTGAAATTTCTGCCTGAGGCTTTGGGCAAGATTCAGGGTTTGATCTTTCTTAATCTCTCCAAAAATCACCTCCAGGTCAGAAGTCTTGGTTACCATTTTCAAGAGGATCGATCGAAGGATTAATTTTTATTGATCCATTATATTTCTTAATTATTTTTTTTTGTTACAGGTCTTACCAGACTCGATTTCAGGACTGCGTAAGTTGGAGGAACTCGACGTCTCGTCCAACCTTCTAGAAGGTTTGCCGGACTCCATCGGTTTGCTCGTTAATCTCAAAGTCCTCAACGTCTCTGGTAATAAACTTCAGAAACTCCCCGAAAGCATCGCCGGTTGCAGGTAAGCACAAACTAATACTACTACTACTACTAATAATAATCCATCCGTCCCCGTCCTCGTCTCGGTGCAAAGTTGTCGTTTACTTTTGCACATAGGTTTTTGAATATAGTATTATAATGGCTTGCAGTGAAAAATATGAAAATACTCATATTAGAATTGTGTGATATAAAATTTAAAATTATTTTATTTATATATTTTAAATTAATATTTTATTTATTTATAAATTATAATTTTATATGTATATATAATATTTATAATAAATATATTATTTAAGCGAACATTCGTAAATGTTCGCGAACAAAACTCGGGCTCGTTCGTTAACCAAACGAGCTTGTTTATGTTGTTCGGCTCGGCTCGTTAACGTTCGCGAACGAGCTTTAACCGAGCCGAATCGAGTCGAACAGAGCCGAGTACTTCACGAACGGCTCGATTCGTTTAACAGCTCTAGTTATGCGATAGTAGATAGTATTATTAGAGACAACACATTATATATATATTAATATAATACAAATACGTCATATGAACTAACATCATATAATATAGTCTCGTATAACACACAACCGTTTTAGCACATGACAGACTTTTATACAACACACATATAATTACGAATAAAAAATACATATTTTTATTACCCACAATATATGATGTGTGTAATAAGAATATGTCATATATGAGTGCTAATTTGAAGAATTCTAACATGAATATGTGTTGTTTGTATATATTATAGGTGGTGATTTTGAAAAGCAACACCGTGTTAAATTTTCTAAATCAACACCCATAATATATACAAACATGATATGTTTTTATTACACACATCACCATAATTATTCTCACGCTGTATAGACTGATTCTCGTAACGTTAGTTAACATATTTTAAGCAAAATAGTATAAAACTCACTCGTAAATTATAAAAATTACACAAAAAAACTCATCGTTAAAAAATTACGTCAAACCCTTTATAGCTTAAAAAAATATATGTATTTAACCTCTTCCATCGTTAGTTAACAGTGATTTCATATCATAGAAATTTTGAACTACCTTCGCAATTATGGTACGTCTAGAACAATCACTGTGCTGAGTTACGAAATCATAAAACAGGTCGTTGATTGAGCTCGACGCGAGCTTTAACAACTTGATGTTTCTACCAACAAACATCGGCTACGGATTGACAAACCTTCAAAAGCTTTCTATATACCTCAACAAAATAAGAGCGCTCCCGAATTCAATCTGCGAAATGAAATCCCTCGAGTACCTCAACGCCCATTTCAATGCGATCCACGCGCTCCCGTCCGCAATCGGGAGATTAACAAATCTCCAAGTCTTGAACGTAAGCCGGAACTTCAGCGACTTAACGGAATTGCCCGAATCGATCAGCGACCTGACCAATCTCCAAGAACTCGACATCAGCAACAACCAAATTCGAGCTCTTCCGGACACATTTTATCGGCTTCAGAATCTGCGCAAGCTCGACTGTCATCAGAACCCACTTGTGGTTCCTCCGATCGAAATAGCGGTCGGCGGGGTCGAAGATGTTCGAGAATACATGGTGAAGATAAGGATGAGTTCATTACAAGATGAACAGAGGATGCAGCAGCAGCGACAACGATTGATCGAGGAGAACGAAAATGGGGGGTGGGCGACGTGGGGGGCCTCGTTGCTGCAAAATGTTTATTCCGGCGTTTCGCAGACAGTTTCCGGGTATTTTGGATCGAATTCGCCGAAAGATCCGTTCTTGGATCAGCAGCTGTAACTGGTAATGAAGAAGTCGATGTAATAAGCTATTTGGGTTGAAGAAAGCTCTGTATTCTACACAAAATATCGCATGAAAATACAATAATATGTATCTAAACAATGTAAAGAAATCTTTTGCATCATAGTATGGAAAGTGTAAGCATTTTGTAGGATGAAGGATTAGTTGCAATTGCCCAAATCCAATTTTAGAAATGATTGATTCCGCCAATTTGGAAGAATTGCATTTCTTGGAGCTATATATTAATAACAAAAAAAAGAAAAAAAACAATTTTTATTTTTTATTTTTTATTTTTTTTAATATGTGAAATGTTTATTTTTCCATTTTAGTTGTACATGACAAAGTATTTATTTATTTAATAACTGCATTATTTATTTAATATTATACATATATTTTTAATTTACAATATATTATACAAACCTCGTTATTTTTTATATCGTAGAATAGTAATAACTTTAGTTTAATATTTTTATTTTTATTTCTACTATAATTAAATATATTATTAATATTTTTAAAATTGTGTGAAAAAAAAAAAAAGGATAAATACCAAAGGAAGAAAGTATTAAATATTGTTTGATTCTTCTCGATTAGCACACAGACGATAAATCATACTTTACACAGAAGAAAGCATGAACATACTTTATTATTAAATTATATATTGAATTCAATTATAATATATATTAGGGTGTTTGTTTGGGGAGTTGGATTTTAAGTTGAGATTTGAACATTAAAAATTTTGAATTTGAATAGTTGTATGATGTGATATAAATAGGTATTGATTTGATGTTTTGAATATAAAATTGATTTTTAATATAATATAAAAATGAAAAATAGGTGTTTGATTTGATATTTTTGGGGGAAAAAATCGGATGAATAGTGAAAATCTAATCCAATCCCTCAAACAAACACATATATATAGATTATTGTTATACTCACAATGTCTCATTGAAAAAGATTATTATTTTTTATTTTTGTTTGTTTTAAAATAAAGTTAGATTTTCTTAATTTAATAATTGTATTATCTACCTAACATAATAAATATCATTATAACTTATACTATATTACACAAATGTCATTACTTTTATATTACACAATACTAATAAGGATATTTTTCTTTTTTTTCACTATAATTATTATAATACTAATATTAAAAACTCTACGTACAAAAAGTAAACGGCAATCTTGCACCGGGACGGAGGTAGTATATTATTTATATTTTGTAGTTATATTAGTATTAATATATATAGTATTTTCTATTTATATTTCATGTCTTTACGTGTCAAATAAGTAGTAATGATTAAATTTATTCACAACTGTCCACGGCGTGCTTGATTGGAACTTAATTAGATAGATTTAAAATTCAAAAGTTTGTTGATATTTTAATACCAAACTTGTCTTTTATTGATTATCAATTTCTTCGAAAAAAAATTCCTCCCATGTAGTAGAATAGAATGGTAGCTTTTGGACTAAAACAAGAAGACTCGCCGGTAAGCATCTAAATATATAAATATAGATAGATACAAACAGATAGATATCTATATGTATATTTGGTATAAAGTCTGTCCAAACAGGTCCCATGTCGTTCCCATCCCATGTTCTTACAAAATTCCTCAATTCAATAAATTATATTATCCTCAATCCATCATTCTGTCTACATTAATTTCTGCAAATCGATCTCAATTTATGGATAACAAACCATTTGTTCTGGCTAACGGCACTCTTCTTTCGATCCACGACGACAAGTTCATCCTCCCGGCGGCGGAGCGGCCGGCGGCGTCCAAGTCAATCCCGATTCCGGTCATCGACTTGGACGAGAAACAAGCATCTTTGATCGGGAAAATCCGCGACGCCTGCGAAGGCCACGGCGTGTTCCATATCATCAACCATGGCGTGCCGAAGGAATTGTGCCGGAAAATGATCGGAGCCGTTCACGACTTCTTTAGACTCCCCGCCGAAGAAAGATCGCATCTTTTCACCGACGACAAAACCAAGCCTCTACGGGTCTCGAATTTTTACCTCAACGGCGATGATGATAAATTCACCATGTGGAGCGAGGTTTTAGCGCACCCTTGGCATCCATCGGACGACTTTTCTCATCTTTTGCCGCGAAATCCTCCACATTATCGGTTAGATATATATATTATTACATGTATTTGTGCAATAGCAAAGGATCGGCCGGCTGCAGATTCTGTGCTGATCCAACCAAATCAGCCGACCAAATCAGCATGATACTGATTTGGCCGGATCAATAGAGGGGATAGAGATGACTTAGTATATATTTATATATTTTTTAACATATACGGTATTATAAAATAGGACATGCTAAATTATAATATATATATATTGATATATGTATAAATATATATTAATCACTCATATACTATATGTTGATTCGGTGAAATCATTACCATATCGACTTTACTAGATCAATTGTTGACCTTTGGTCCACTCACCCCCACCCCAATAGGGTATATACATATATTTTTTTATATATATATCATGAGTGTGGGAACTCATATTATAAATGGAGGGCTACTCCACTTAACATTAATTGATTTTAAATTGAAATTTGAAATTCCTTTTTAACAGAATCCTAACGGTTTTGTAATATAATTTTGATTCGAGATGTTAAACCAATTGATTTAGAGAATTGGCGGGCGAGTACGCCAAGGAAGTCGGTTGGCTCGTCACGCGGCTATTACGGTTGATATCGCAAGCATTGGGGCTAAAGAAAGATTACTTGCAAGAACGGCTCGGGGATAAGCCGAGGCTAGTGGCGCATGCCAATTACTACCCACCGTGTCCGCGGCCCGAGCTCACTTTAGGATCACTTTCTCACACGGACGTCATCGCAATCACTGTTCTCTTGCAATCCGAGGATGTCTCCGCCTTACAAGTGATGCAAGACGGGCAATGGGTGCCGGTGGATCCTCTTCCTGGCGCCCTTCTTGTCAACATCGGCGATCAAATCGAGGTAGGAAAAAAAATTCATCATTCTGACTCTGAATTTTTATTTTTAAAAAAAAAATTTAAGACAATAAGTTGAAGAGATAACTTTTTTTATACGTATTTAGGTTATGAGCAATGGAAAGTACAAGAGTGTGCACCATAGGGTAGTGACAAACAAGGACTTGGACCGAGCTTCGATTGCCATGTTCTATGGACCAAATATGGACTCGATGATCGGTCCGATTGACGAGTTGCTCGACGAAGAACATCCTCCGATTTATAGGACCTATTGTTTTCGAGAATTCATGGAAGAATTTCTAAGGCAGGAGAGCACAGTGTGGAGGGTGAAGGAGGCTTTCCGGTTGAACCATTAACGACTTCCATGTAGTCTCGATCGAACAACCTACGATTATACAAGAGCATGTATAATAGCGACAAGATTTATTATCATTCGATTCCATCGAATTGACTATGCATCCATAAAAATAATATTACATCAAATAATTTATTTATTTTTCTTTTTTTTTTTACATGGATCAGTGGTTGATCTGGTCAAATCACCATTATACTGATCTAACCCTTAGACTATAGAGTAACCAGCGTATATTTATACATATTTCAAACATATAATATATGTCTATTATAAATATATTGAGACATGTATAAATATATATTAGTTATCCATATAATATATGTTGATCTAATCAAATTAGTACTATGCTATGTTGACTTGGCCCGATCAGCACAAAATATGCAGCTTTTTTTATTATTATTTAAAATGTTATGTAAAAAAACAAACTTATTCTATTGTTTAAAACCTGAAGCGGGTAAATTTTCTTAAGGGTAACAATACCCTTTCGGGTGAAACTACGTGGGGCTAGGAGGATCAACTCACCAAAACCCTTAAAATATATGTATTTTTTAATGTAAAAAAATAATAAAATTATGTATTTTATAGTAATTTGTCCCTTATAATTATTTATTTTGTAATGTAAAAAATTATAAAATTTTTATATGTTTGTTGATTTATACTTTTAGTTTTTAAATTTTATTTTTTATAGTAAAAAAATATTGAATTTTATATAATTTTATTAAATTTTTTTCTAAAATATTTAATTTTTTTAATTTTTTGCCAGATTGTACTATGAATAAAAATAAATAAATAAATAAAAACATCGATAAAAAAATTGATTTTGCCCTTCCGGCCCTTTCGATCTGTGGGAATGAACCAAACAGTTGGGCTTTATGGGCCGTGATTTTAAGCACAGTCTATTTATAAAACCCATAGCTTTTCATAATTCTAATAAATCTGATAATAATGATGGGCCGAGGCCCATCAGAATGCTCTTTTCATTAAAGTAAATACATATAAATTGTAATTTACATTTTGGGGGAATAATATAATTCTGAGAATTTTATTTTACGATAGTAAATAAACGCAAAAACATATCTTGAAGATTAATGTGATTACTTTTATTATTGTACTCTTTCTTTTCTATAACAAAGTATTTATTTTTTCATTTTAGTCGATCTCATAACACAATATTTATTTCTTTTTTTTTAAAAGTAATTGTACTATCTATCTAACATTGCAAATACTCTTTCAATTTATAATATATTACACAAATGTCATTACCTTTATATCACACCGTACTAATAAGGTTATTTTAGTCATTTCCATTTTATTTATAGTACATCCAAATATTTTTAAAACTACATGCAAAAAGCAATTAAATACATAGTCATGAGACGGATGGAATATTATTAATTTAAATTTTTTTGGATGTGGTCCTTGTGTGATGAATGTTATTTGTGTATTTATTTAAACAGCAAATGGACGAAATGTGGAGAATAGGGCAAAATATATAGGATCAGATAGGATTATGATTAGGTCTATGAATTATGTGTAATAAAGGCCAGACATATCACGCACGCTTGCCTGACTTCTATGTACCAATTTAATGCGCACACTTCCAAATATTAATTTCCAATATTATTACAACAATACAAATCAATCTGTCTATTGCAAGGGTTGATCATTCGGATTTTCGGTTCGAATTTTGTCAAATTCGAATCGATTCGAAAATTTGAAATTTTTGAAAAAACTAATTCGACTTGAATCGAAATAATCGAAATCCGAAATCCAAAAATCCGTAATCCGAACAAAAAAATTCGAACCAAACCGAAATATTCGAAATTTTAAATATTTTTTTTTATTTTTAAATTTCTTTTATATTTTATTATTATTTTATAATATTAAATATATATTATATAAAAATTAAATATATTAAAATATAATTAATAAATTTGAGTTTTTTATATTAAAATATAATATTTTCTAATAAAATATTAAATATATATAATTTAAAAAATATATTAAAATGTTATTGTTACGCACAAATAATAATAATAATAATAATAATAATAATAATAATAATAATAATAAGGTATCCAGAGTCAGTCGGTGGGTTCTCAGTCGGTTGGTTCTCAATCAGATAAGCAAGTCAGATGGTCCGCGGTCGGGCAAGCAGGTCGGATTATCCGCAGTCGGATAAATGGGTCGGTTGATACAAAGGTTGGCTGCTATGGGGGTCGGTCGAAAAAGGAAGTCGGGCGAAGAAAGGTCTGTTGATAGGTCAGACGATTGAAGAGACCAAATAGTGGTCGTTTGATGGGGCGACCAGTGAGTCTTTTGATCTGGCGACCAATTATGTATCTAGATTGGTCGGTTGGTCGGTCGTTGGGTTATGCGGTTGGCGAGGCGGTTAAAGACATGTGTCAATGAAAGAGGCAGTTCTGAGTTCTGTAACTGGTGGGAACGGTTGGTGAAACAGTGCGACGGTTCTGAACGTTTTCTTCAAAGAATATTTACGGATTTGGATCATCATTTGGCAAGGCATCTTCAATCAACTTCAACAAAGCAAAGTCAGATTTGGGGATCACCACTTTAAATTTCAGTCTTTTATTTTCCAGTTTATTTTCTGTACCATACAGTGTTTAGAGATTCCTAATCTCAGGCACTAATTAATCAAGTTTAAGGATATTTTCTATATCTTTGAATTTTACTTTATTTTTGTTGAAAAATTACATCAACAAATTGGCGACCACAGTGGGAGAAAATTGCTGATCCATATGGCAAATTTTCAATTCCACAGTACAGTCGTTGGCTTTATCACGGCAGAAGAAGCTTCCCAACTACGGGCCGAATTGACAGCAGGTTTTACAGCAGGTTTTCGGCAAATGTACGACCAGCAGATAGCAAATCTGCAGGCAATACATGACGCAATGCAAAACTTGATGGAGCAATCAAAATTCATGTTGAATTCGGTTCCTGCACCGCCAGAAATGTCATGCCCCCAAACGGACAACGCCATTCCTGAGCATATACCCAGTCAGACAGACTGGAGACAGGACCAAACAGGAGGACAGGCCCGACCAGGGACGACCGAATGGACGGAGACAGGTCGGCAGGATCACGACGCCTGGACGGACCATGGTCGGGAAGACCACACCGACTGGACGGACCATGGTCGGGAGGACCACACCGAATGGACGGACCGTAGTCGGGACAACCACACCGACTGGATGGACAAAGGTCGGGAGGACCACGCCGACTGGACGAATACAGATCGGGAAGACCACGTCGACTGGACGGACAAAAATCGGGAGGACTATGTAACCTGGACGGATACAGGTCAGGAGGACCCCGCCGAATGGACGGATACAGGTCAGGAGGACCCCGCCGAATGGACGGACACGGGTCAGGTCGCCGACCATAACTTTTCAGGCGAGCAAAAGAATGACAGAACAACAGTGGCCGAAAGGAGGAATAAGTCGGACGGGAGTCTGAATACAATGGTAGTGCAAGATCGACCAACGTCCAGGCCAGCACCAGTCCGCGATAAATGGAGGTCGGGTCCAACGTAGCCTCAAAGGATGGAGGTCGGATCTGAGGCTGACGTAGCCTCGGATGCTAACCTACTAACTCCTAAAACATCATAAGAAATGATGCTTAGGAGTCTTGAGGAGGAGGCATGTTGTTACGCACAAATAATAATAATAATAATAATAATAATAATAATAATAATAATAATAATAATAATAATAATAATAATAAGGTATCCAGAGTCAGTCGGTGGGTTCTCAGTCGGTTGGTTCTCAATCAGATAAGCAAGTCAGATGGTCCGCGGTCGGGCAAGCAGGTCGGATTATCCGCAGTCGGATAAATGGGTCGGTTGATACAAAGGTTGGCTGCTATGGGGGTCGGTCGAAAAAGGAAGTCGGGCGAAGAAAGGTCTGTTGATAGGTCAGACGATTGAAGAGACCAAATAGTGGTCGTTTGATGGGGCGACCAGTGAGTCTTTTGATCTGGCGACCAATTATGTATCTAGATTGGTCGGTTGGTCGGTCGTTGGGTTATGCGGTTGGCGAGGCGGTTAAAGACATGTGTCAATGAAAGAGGCAGTTCTGAGTTCTGTAACTGGTGGGAACGGTTGGTGAAACAGTGCGACGGTTCTGAACGTTTTCTTCAAAGAATATTTAAGGATTTGGATCATCATTTGGCAAGGCATCTTCAATCAACTTCAACAAAGCAAAGTCAGATTTGGGGATCACCACTTTAAATTTCAGTCTTTTATTTTCCAGTTTATTTTCTGTACCATACAGTGTTTAGAGATTCCTAATCTCAGGCACTAATTAAGTTTAAGGATATTTTCTATATCTTTGAATTTTACTTTATTTTTGTTGAAAAATTACATCAACAGTTATATTTCGGATTGGTTCGGATTTAAAATATACCGATCCGATCCGATCTGAAATTCCGAAATTTGTTAAAAATTCAATCCGATCTGAAATTCCGAAATTTGTTAAAAATTCAATCCGATCCAATCCGAAAATCCGAAAAATCCGAACCAAATTTTAAATTTCGGTTTGGTTCAGATTGGATTTTTGGATTTCGGATATTTTGTTCACCCCTAGTTTATTTGAGATATACTCTCTTTGTCTCAAAATTATAATTTGGATTGTATTTGGCACGAGATTTAAGATATATTTATCTTATATTGGTAATATATAAAAAATACGGATAAAAAACTTTTTTGCCATTGTGAGTGTATTAAGGTAGTGTTGATTGTGTAATAATAATAAAAAAAAGTAAGAATAGTTTTATAGTTATATGATTATTTATGAAAATAAGACTATTGTTTTGAAATGAATAAAAATGGTAAATAAGACTATTATATTCGAATGAAAAGAGTATATTTTTTAAAAATAAAAAATAATAATAATTAGATATAATTTTTTTATTCCATCATCGAAAATGATGAGCATTTTGTTAAGCATAAATTTCAATAAAAATATGTAATAATGATTATTTTTTTATAATAAAAAAATTTAACTAATACTCCTTTTGTCCAAAAAATAATAATAAATTATATTCGTATAAGTTGGATACATGTTTTGATGAATATAAATATTATATTGGTTAATTGTGATATAAAATAAAAATATTTTGAAAAGT